AATACCGGCGATCAACCAGACAAAGACGTGAAGATAGACGGTACCGACAAGTGGAGTAAGGCTGTCTAACAACTTTGATCCCAGTGTCACAAGATAATTTTCAGTGAATTTTGAGATAAATTTTGTCTGTGTTTATTCTAATTTTATTTTTATTTTATTTTAATTTTATTTTTATAATTGTCAAAAATTTAATTTTTAAATCTTTTAATTCTTAAATTTTAGAAATTAGTTTATTTTATTTTTAGTTTAATTTTAATTTTACTTTTATTTTAATATCCTCAAAAAGTTTTATTTTTGAAAATTTAATCGGGATTTGGACTGTGCATAATACTGTGTGGGAGACAGATAAACTCTAAGGAGGTATAAAAGGTTGGGTTTACTGCTGTAAACCCTTTTCACCTTCCTTTTCTCCTTGCGGCCGCAAACTCTTTCTCTCTCTACTCTCTCTCATCCTCGAAATTTTCTGTGAGATTTTGCAAAATCAGTAAGTTCACTTCGAAGGTATGCTAAAACCGACTGGGGAAAAGCTATTTGTTCATCGATTCGACTGAAACTGGAGGATTAATCGTCGTTTATGTGTTCGTCGGCGTTTACGGTTTGGGGAGGGTTTACGGTTTGGGGAGATTCAAGAACCGTAAACTCCTTCTGGGCTTACGACCGTAAACTCCTTTTGGGCTTACGACCGTAAACTCCTCTGAGTTTACGACCGTAAACTCAGTTTACGGTCAGGTGACCATTGCAATGGGTTTACGGCCGTAAACCCACTTTGGACCGTAAACTCAATGTTTGACCAATATTGACCGTAAACTCCAATTTTTTTGATCAAAATAATTTTTTTTAAGGCCAAAATAAAATTGTTTAATTAAGAAAACTTAAAGCTTTAATTGTTTAAATACTTTGTTTTCTTACTTGGCCTGGTTTAGTGCAGATCAATGGCGAGTCTTAAGTTTGCTGACATGCATAACCTGGCAATTGTGTTGGATGAACCTCCTGTTGCTCATGGAGATTTCAGATCAATGATCTACAGACTAAGAGAATGCTGCCTGGCTTGTGCCATCACTGTGAATCCAATCATTTATCAGAACATTGTCAGGGAGTTCTGGCAGACGGCCAAGATGTCAAAAGACAATGGTGCGTTCGCTGTTAAAGCTGTGGTTAAAGGATGCAAGATCATAATCACTGAGCAGTATATCAGAGAAACATTGCTGATCAATGATCAACCCGATTTTCCTACTGAAATTGGGATTGATGATGTTCAAAAGGTTCTCAAAAGGATGGGATATGAGGGCATCTACCCTCCCACGGTGAAGAAGCTTTTGCCTCCCTACTGGAGATTTTTGGCGCATGTGTTCGTGAGCTGTATCTCGGGAAGGAGATCAGGAGCTGATGAAATCTCTCTCAGGAACACAGGGGCAATCGTTTCACTGGCTGCTGGCATCAAATTCAACTTCTCGAAGTTCATTTTGGATGAGTTCTTGGTAAATATCAACGCTATAAGCCGGGAGACCAGAGATGCATTCTTGCTATATCCGAGATTTATTCAGATGTTCATCGACAACCAATTCCCAGAGATGATCAAAGATGGTGACAAGCTGGATATAAAGTCATTAGGCCCACACACGATTGGTCTCATCAAGCAGAATCGAAAGGGCAAAGTCGTCTTCCAAGGCTTACATCCTCTCGTGAAATTCGGAAAATTTGCTGAAATAGATGAATCTTCCGAATCTCATGGAACGTCTGACAAGATGTCTTCTGAGCCCACTTCCTCCGAGAGAGTTGTTTCTGAAGATGTCATCACAGTTTCAGATCATGATGAAGAAGAAACTCCAGCTGCTAATGCTCAAGTAGCTGAGGAACACGAATTGACATCTGTTCAGGTACAAGGAGATTACAATGAGGGGTCTGGAACGGAGACTGATTTGTACGAAGGCCTCGACCTCACAGGATTCGATAACGATGAAATTCCTCTCAACTTCGGTAGCAATGAAGATTTCATGACCGGCGTAAACCTCAACACACTGCTTGAAAATATCAATGAAGTTGCTCATCCAGCAACGGAGATAAGGGAAAAAGAAGACGTTCTCGAAGCCACGCCTCCTCCTACCAATCCAACGGCGGAAATAGCAATTCCTATGGTGACAGTGTCAGGGATTCCTCCCCTTGATGTTGTTTTACCTACATCTGAGCCATTGGAAAGTGATCACCCAACTACACAGGCCTCTCAACCTCCAACAAAAAGACGAAGACTTGACCCTAGACAGGGAATTCTTGACTCTGATACACTTCAAAGTTTTACAGCTCCACCAACAACAACTCCTATTATCGTTTCATCTGAACCTGTCAGTGAAGGTCCTAGTACCTTCTATGAAGCTGGTGGTTCTTCCTTCCCCACGGATTTCTCTCCTCCCAGGCCAGAGCATGATGCTGCCTCGGTTAAGTTAGCCAGGCTTTTGGCCAGAGAACAACTCACAACGCCTCCCTCACATGGCAAAGGAATTTCTATTGGGGGTGGCAGCTCAGGAGAAGAGAATCCTTCACTTCTTGGACTCCAGAAAGAGATCGATGCTCTGAATCAGAAAAATGTTGATTTAGATCAGAGAAATATTGAGCTGGATATCAAGGTCGCAGACCTTCAGACTGAGAATACAAAGCTCAATATTCAAGTGGCCGAACTTATCGAAGACAAAGCTCTGAAGTCGAAGCAAATTACTGACCTTCAGACGCATTTCGGCCTGTTGACCGCCAGCTACTACGATCTTAAGAAGAAGCTGGAAGAAAACTTTGGCGACAAATTCAAGTCATCTGTTGACGAGCCAAAGATCTATCTTCCTGATCAAGATACTCCCATAGTTCCACAACCTACAAGGACGACCACCATTGTTAACCGTTTTGAAAAAGAACCGGCTCAGGCTCCAAGTGTAATGGCATTAAAACGCGCTAAATTGGCCAAGTCAGCTGAAAAGGGTCAACTTCTATTCAAAAGGAGCGCAGATCATAATGCCCCCTGGGATCAACCACAGATCACCGTTACGGATCTGGGCGAACATCGTTTCAGAGACGTTTATGGTGATAGGTCAGGAATCATCTCGTGGGGATTTCATGACACTATGAATATGTTTATGGTGAGAAGAAAGAGCGGCAATACTGAATTATACAAAGATGCTCACGATTTTCATTCCTTTACTAGGATTGATCTTACGGAGCTGTCTAAAGCTCCTTTCTCAAATCCATCAAACAATCCCAGGGCGACTCAGTTCAAATCTTTTTTGGAAGATCAAGTAGCTAAGGGTTTCCCTTCAATGAAGACTGCAGAGTCTATTATCAAGATTTACCCTAACGTTATTGATCCCAAAACAAGTCAGCCTCTTCGGTCAGTGATGTGGCCCGCTACTGCTCAAGTAAAGCAGATCCCCGTTCTTCAAAATTATCCAGATGGATCTCTTGCATCCATGCAATACTGGGTGTTTGACGAATTTGTTGCTGTTGCTGTCATCAAGCTTAAAGACAATTGTATCCGCTTGTATGACAAGAGGGATTTGCTTCAATTTGGCAAGTGGGACATACATCAGCTCTCCATTCATCAGATCAAGGTGGCTGAAGACATTTTTGAGCCCATTGCAAAGGAATACACTTCGATGGTTGCTGAGATTATCGAGAAGGAGATGTGGAACGGAGCTATGGGAAAATCTGATGTGTTGGTGGTCGACAAAAGCTGAGTCCAAGCTAGCACCAAACCAAGGGGGAGATTGAAAGGTCCAGTTAATGTGGTTTGGTCTCGGCTTTCAATGTAATAGTTCAGTATGAGTCTGTAATACATTTTGTGAGTTGTTTAGGTGTTTACTGTTGGAAAGTGTGTTTACGACCGTAAACAGAGTTTACGGCCGTAAACACGTTTACGGCCGTAAACCCAGTTTACGGTCGTAAACCCTGTTTGCGGTCCTGTCTAGTATAAATAGCAGAGGTGTAGGTCATTGTGCAGTTGTTGATGCCATTGCGTTTACAGAGTGTTCCATCGAGTTGTACCTGACGTTTTTCTGAATATAAACGTGTGCAAGCTCGATTTCTTTTCTTCTTATTCTTTTATCTGTGATTGTTTGTTGCTTGATCATTGGTAAAGATCCTTTTCAGGACCTTACACGATTCACTCTAGCAAAGTTTTCTATACTAGGCGCTAGAGTTTTCTTTATTAGACTTTTTTAGGATCAAGAATCGATAAACACACAACAATACAAAATAAAGATGTGGAAAAAAATAAAGAACAAAAACATTTAACATGGTTCACACAATCATCAGAGTGATTGGCTAATCCATAGACAAACTAGAAATATATTTTGTAAATTGTATTCGTCAAACATATGTTTTCTACTTGAGTTTACATATGTATAAGGAGATCTATTTATAATGATAAGTTGACGTAAAAACCTACTTGTAAACCAACCCCATAAAACTTCATCAACTGAACAGGCTTTCTGAACCGCATATGTTGCACTGCAGAATTACACTGCAACTGCAACATAGACCTTGGAAGAAATTAAGGTCAAAGGGAAGAGTAGGCTTCACAACTCAACAGATTTTTGGTTGATGAGGTGTTAACTTTGCTTTTTTATGGATTTATAGTAAATTGGGAGTTCTAAAACTACGTTGCTTGATTGGTATTATAACCCCATCACCTCTAAGAATTTTTTTTTCTAGCCCCTTGCTAGTTAATAAAATTTGATCATTAAAAAAACACAATCCATGAGAATGATATGGAAAGAGCAAAACTAAAGCAAGAAAAAGGAGATAAAAAGAGCTAGCAATTCACAACAGGTATTTGTACATCTGGCACGGGCAAATGGCTTCTATCGAGCATACAATAGCGTTAGCATGTATTCATCGGCTGAATTAACAGAGTCAAGTTCATGGTAACTTTCTTCAGTAAAAAAAGTTGGTTGTTTAGGTTTACGAAATGCCCCGTCACTAATCAGCATCAAAACTACTGACAACATAGTTGGTCTATCTTATGTATGATGTTGCACACACAATAATCCAACATGTATTGATTGTAGTAGTTCAGACATGACACAAGAGTTGCGTAAAGATCCACTCATGAGTTCAATGGACTTGTCTTCTTTATATAGTCTCCACGCCTGAATGAAACCAAATTTCAGAAAAAAATATACTAAAGGATGATGTTAAAGAATAAATAGTTTCTAATCCTTTTTTAGTTTACAAGATTAACTTACATGTCCAAGAGGGTTATCACAGTGAGCCTCATGAGAGAACCCTCTGTTTTTCTTCCCACTCACAATCTCCAGCACAACAACACCAAAGCTAAATACATCCGACTTCATAGAGAAACGACCATGTACTGCATACTCAGGAGAAATGTAACCACTGCAACCAAGTTTATTTTAATATAAAAAAAGATTAGTGGGATTTTGCATTTGTTTGTATTTGTTCCCTTGTTTCGGACAATGTTTTACAGAAACTTACTGTGTTCCAACCACCTTCTTTGTCTTAGCCATGGCATCTTGTCCTACAAACTTTCGAGCAAGGCCAAAGTCTGATATTTTTGGATTCGTTTCACTGTCCAGCAATATATTACCTACCTTACGATCTCTATGGATGATTTGAAGGCGGGAATATTGATGTAGATAAAGAATACCTCAAGCTATACCATATTGGTCAAAGGTTGACCTGGTAATTAGGAAGGAATAAAACACATGGGAAGTCATGACCGTTGGAAAATTGATTGTTCCTATTATTTCTCATTTTCAATTCATGTTTAGTAGTATAAATAGCATCGATTAGAAGTTACAATCCATCGGTCGAAATTTCCTTGTACAACAACTCAATCATTAGGTTTCTAGTCTTCATTCAATAAAAGTGAATCATTCGGCTGCCTATTTCTAGTTTTACCCCTGCTTTGTTTTTGTTGTTTACTGTTCCATTTGCTTGATCACCAACATTTGGTATCAGAGCCTCAACAGATCCTGATCATTTGTATGCCCAAGTATCCTCGATTCAACAATATGATAGCCCCATCATCATCCAATCAGTCCAAGGACAGCCCCTTCACTCTACAGTGCCCAATGTTGACATCACTAAACTACAATACTCGGTCAATAAAGATGGAAGCCATCATGGATGCCCATGGGTTATGGGATGCCATTGAGCCACCAACCGGTGTGGTTGTGGATGAGAAGAAGAGCAAGCAGGCTCGAGCTTTCATCTTCCAGTCTATACTAGAGGAAATACTTGCACAGGCTGCCAAGAAGAAGACATCCAAGGAGGTTTGGGACTCACTCAAGTCACGGTATGTGGGTGCATAAAGGGTCCAAAAGGAAAGGTTGCGGGTACTAAAGAGTGAGTTTAAGCACTCCAAATGAAGGAAACAAAATCTATAGATGAATATGCAGGGAAGATCTCAGCTATGATCTCTAAATTTGGGAGTGCAGGGGCAATATTGGGAGATGAAGAATTGGTAAGAAAGCTGTTTGATACAGTCCCAGAAAGGTTTATAAACCTGGTGGCATCAATTGAGCAAACTTGTGACATGGAATCAATGTCATTTGAAGAAGCAATTTGGCATTTGAAGGCTTATGAAGACAGGCTCCGGCTCTGGAAAGCAAGCACACAGGCAGATAATGCCCTGCTACTTGCCAAGGCAAAAGGCTCAACAATCCATCGGAGTCCAAGCAAGCCAAACTCACCAGGTGGTCGAGGAAGGGGCGGAAATAACAACCGGGGAGGAAGAGGCAGCTCACGAGGGCGAGGTTCGTCACGTGGCAGAGGTGAGCGTTGGGATGGTGACTCACGACAGGAAGCAAGCAGTTCCAACAAGAAGCCTTGTGACAAGAGCAACATAAGATGCTATGAATGCCAAGAGCATCATTATGCATCGGAGTGCAAGGCAAAGAAACAGCAGGACCAAGAAGTAAACTTGGCTGCTGATGAAGAGGAACCGACTCTATTGTTGACTGTTTGTGGAGAAAAGAATGCCAAAGTGGTCCTTTTGAATGAAGAAAAAGTCTACCCAGGCCAACTCAAGGAGAATAATGAAGAAAACATATGGTATCTAGACAATGGAGCTAGTAACCATATGACCGGAAGCAAGGCCTTATTTGATGAACTTGACGAGAAAGTAACGGGGCCGGTTCGATTCGGAGACGGGTCCAAGGTTCCGATCAAAGGAAAAGGTGCTCTCATATTTGATTGCAAGAATGGTGACCAATTTGTCATCCCAGACGTGTATTATATTCCTGCCCTGCACAGTAATATAATAAGTCTGGGACAAATGACTGAAGAGGGGTATGACATAGGGATAAAGAAGGAGTTCTTGAGAATGTATGATGAAGTAGGAAGCTTAGTTATGAAGGTGCAGAGATCCAAGAACAGACTTTATAAAATAAAGCTTACACCTGGAAAGCCTGTATGCTTAGCCATGAGTATAGACGATGACTCATGGCTATGGCATGCACGTATGGGCCACATAAACTTCAAGTTACATGAAGAAATGACACGTAAGGAAATGGTGACAGGTATGCCCCAGTTGACTCATCCATCACAAGTGTGTGAAGCATGTATGGTAGGCAAGCAGGCAAGACAGAGCTTCCCAAAGGTAACCCAGTGGAGAGCAAAAGACCCACTCCAGTTGTTGCACACGGACCTCTGTGGGCCAATTACACCTGCAACAAAAGGAGGTAATCAATACTTCCTGCTGATTGTGGATGACTACTCACGCTACATGTGGGTCTATCTGATCAAAACCAAAGACAAGGCATTCAACATGTTCCAGAAATTCAAGTCACAAGTTGAAGGAGAGAGTTAGTATAAGATCAAGATGTTACGAACTGACCAGGGAGGCGAGTTTAACTCCACCCAGTTCGCTAATTTTTGTGAACATGCTGGAATTCACAGGTAATTGACGACTCCACACACGCCTCAGCAAAATGGCATTGTGGAGAGGCGCAATAGAACAATTCGAGATGACTCGATCATTGCTCAAAGCCATGAGACTGCCTGATCAGTTTTGGGGCGAGGCAGTACGACACTCGGTAAACCTACAGAACAAAATTGGGACGAAGGCTCTGAAAAATGTAACTCCATACGAGGCCTGGAAGGGGTCCAAGCCATCCTTAGCACACCTAAAGGTCTTTGGGTGTGTAGGGTTCGTCAAGAAATTGCGTGGTCTAACAAAATTGAGTGATCAGAGTGAGGCTATGGTGTATTTGGGAACTGAAGAAGGAACTAAGGGATACCGTATGTATAATCCCAGTAGTCGACGGATTGTAGTAGCCAGAGACGTGATGTTCAACGAAGCAAAACCTTGGGCCTGGAATAACGAGTCAATGGGGGAGCCTCTTACAACCCCTTATTGGACCAATATTGTGACAGGTATGGAAGCCTAATCCCAACCAGCCCAAGAAGTTGATTCAGCAGATAACGTGATTGAAGACCCGCTGACGTCGTTACATGGTGACTCTCACCTAAACCACGAAACTCACAGTCCATCGTTTGAAAATACGCCACAGCAAAGCGCGCACAGATTGGAGTCGCGATCAACATCACCAGGTCAAGCATCGGCAGAAAATGGGTCTGTAGCCTCATATGACGACACACCAGCGAAAGGGTTTCAATCACTCAATGAAATTTACGAGAACACAAGAAGATTAGACGAGGCTGAAATACAAGAGTTGTATGAGAGAGACCAGGAGCTACTGTTGGTTGATGATGAGCCTACGACCTATGAAGAAGCAGTGGCTAAAAGGGCTTGGAATTAGGCAATGAAATTGGAATTGGAGTCAATTGAAAGGAACAAAACCTGGTCCTTAGCCAAAGTGCCCCCAAATCGCAAGGCCATAGGGCAAAAATGGGTATTCAAGTTAAAAAGGAGTGCAGCTGGAGAAGTACTCAAACACAAGGCTCGCCTGGTCGCCAAGGGTTATGTTCAAGAAAGGGGTGTCGATTTTGACGAAGTATTTGCACCAGTGGCCAGGCTGGAGACGATAAGACTGATCCTCTCGGTAGCGACAAAAGAAAATTGGCTTGTACATCACCTGGATGTCAAGTCAACGTTCCTACACGGAGACCTTAAGGAGGAGGTTTACGTAACTCAGCCCACTGGATTCACGGTCAAAGGCAAGGAAGGCTGGGTGTATCGTCTTCATAAGGCCTTGTATGGGTTACGACAGGCGCCAAGGGCATGGAACATAAAACTCGACCAATCACTCAAGTCACTTGGATTCACCAGATGTGTTCATGAGCAAGCCGTCTATAAGGTACATAAACCCAACTTGATTCTTATAGTGGGTGTATATGTAGATGACCTTATAGTCACTGGGTCAAGTGAGAAGGGAATCCATGAGTTCAAGAATAAAATGAAATGTTTGTTTGACATGAGTGATCTGGGAGTGCTATCTTATTACCTGGGAATTGAAGTATCACAGGATAAGGATGGTATAATACTCACACAGAAGGGGTATGCTGAAAAGATCCTAAAGGTTTCGGGCATGGAAGGCTGCAACAATTCTCAGTACCCAATGGAGCCAAAACTCCATTTAACCAAAGATGAAGATGGTGAACCTGTGAATGCAACAAGGAAGCTTGTTGGAAGTTTAAGGTACCTGGTCCACACAAGACCAGACCTTAACTACAATATTGGAGTGGTGAGCAAGTTTATGCAAAATCCCAAACAAAGCCATTATACTGCTATAAAACATATCCTGAGATATATGAAGGGTACAACAGAGTATGGACTGATGTACCACAGGGGAGGTGACGGAAGACTCGTGGGTTACAGTGACAGCAGTGATTGTGAAGATAGAAGAGGAACCACTGGAATAGCTTTCTACTACTCAGGAAACCTCATAACATGGGCATCACAGAAACAGAAAACTGTGGCACTTAGCTCATGTGAAGCCGAGTATATGGCTGCAACTGCAGTTGCATGTCAAGGACTGTGATTAAGGAACCCGTTCAGTGAGCTGATGGGAAAGAAAGAACAGAAGGTGAAGCTGTTAATTGACAACCAATCCACCATAGCACTCATAAGAAATCCGGTATCCCATGGCAGAAGCAATCACATAAACACAAAGTTCCACTTTATTCATATGTGTGTTGAAAGGGAACATATTCAAGTAGAGCATGTGAGTGGAGATCAACAGAAGGCTGATGTTCTGACAAAGGCAATGCCAAGGATAAAGTTTGCGGAGATGAGAGCACAAATTGGCATAGAAAATCTGAAGGAGAAAGGTCAACCTTGAGGGGGAGAAATGTTGGTCAAAGGTTGACCTGTTAATTAGGAAGGAATAAAACACATGGGAAGTCATGACCGTTGGAAAATTGACTGTTCCTATTATTTCTCATTTTTAGTTCATGTTTAGTAGTATAAATAGCATCAATTAGAAGTTACAATCTATCAGTCGAAATTTCCTTGTACAGCAACTCAATCATTAGGTTGCTAGTCTTCATTCAATAAAAGTGAATCATTCGGCTGCCTATTTCCAGTTTTACCCCTGCTTTGTTTTTGTTGTTTACTGTTCCATTGGCTTGATCACCAACATACCATGGATAATGCAAAAGCGCTGAGGCCAGTCCATCATTGAACCTTTGGTTTCATCTGCCAAATGTGAACAATTTAATATTTAATCCATGCGTTTCTACAAATGTGAAAGTAAGGCATCGGAGGGACACAAACCAAATAGAAATATGAGTCCAGGCTTTTGTTATCCAAGTATTCATAAATTAAAATCCTTTAATTTCCATGAATGCAGTATCCAAGGAGCTTCACAAGATTCCGATGCTGAAGTTTGGCAATACAAATGACTTCATTTTGGAACTCATCAAATCCATGTTGGGATGTTTCTGGGAGACACTTTACAACGATTACTCGCCCGTTTTCCAACACACCATACAAATAATTATTGGATCTTACGATTAAGATATTCCCTTGTTAATAAACATGTATTGCGTTTTATTTCTAAAGAATCAACAAGTTACCTTGTAAACGGGACCAAAACCACCTTCTCCAATCAAAGTTATTAGTAGCCTCAACTATTTTATGAAGGCTAAAAAATGGAATCTGATCAAGGTTTTCCATCTGATCACTCGTAAGATCTTTATCTGTAACGACGTAAATTTTAAAACAATTTTTCATTTTTCAAACATAATAAATCTCATATAATATTCTCAAAATCTCATGTATCAATGTCATCACAATAAAACATATCCCAGTATCTCAACACAGAATCTTCTGCCAGTGTGTACAAATCATGTCGGCGCCTTCCCACGACCCTCACTGATACCTGAAACACATATCACATAACACGGTAAGCATAAATGCTTAGTGAGTTCCCCAAAATACCACATACAACACATACGCCACTCGAGGCTACAGTACGACCCTCCGGTCGATGTGTCTCAGCGGGACCCTCCAGTCCCGTAGCTCGTTGAACCCTCTGGTTCGGTCATAGCTCGTTGGACCCTTCGGTCCGGTCTGTATCGTTGGACCCTTCGGTCCGGTCTATATCGTTGGACCCGTCGGTCCGGTCTATATCGTTGGACCCTCCGGTCCGGTCTATACAACACATTGCATACATATATCACAATGCACATAATCTCATACATACACATAGCACACAAGACCCTTCGGTCTACACATAGATACCACTCTAGGTAATGTATAGTGAGAAGACTCACCTCGGCTAGCAGGTGAGCAAATAACCTCGCGCTCGGATCTCGAACTAGTCTCCTCCTAACACAAAGGATGAATATCTCTTATTAATACTCTTCTCACAACTCAGATAATCGAAGGCGGGTCTTTCTCTTTCTAACTCATTAAAGTGGGTAAAAGACCATTTTACCCCCTCCAAGGTCTCCATCACATATGTTGACCAAAACCCCATGGTCAACAGAAGTCAAACTCGAGTCAATAGTCCAAGTTTGACCCGACTCGTCGAGTGCACTCCTGCGACTCGTCGAGTCCCCTCGTATCCTCAGAAGCCTCAAAAGTCCAGCTCAACTCGTCGAGTTGACCCCCAACTCGCCGAGTTATCGCACAATCAATCCATCGAGACAAACCTTTGCCGACTCGTCGAGTCAGGTCATGGACTCGGCGAGTCCCTTTGATCTGATTTCTCATTCAGATGATTTCAACCAGATCTATCACTCTAAACTATAGATCTATCATCCCAACGCTCAATAATTACGTAAAGCTTAGATCTTTACGTTCATACATGATGCTATTGCTTCAAAACGCCAATACATGCTCTTCATGAAGGTTTTTGCTCATCAACCCTCATTTGGACCACTAAAGCTAAGACATCTAGACTCTAACGACCTTAGGAGGTCCAGATCTGAGGTTTCCAACCACAACCAGGTCTCATTCGACTCAGATTCAAAAGAATGGAAGCAAAGCCCTAAAACTCCCAAAATGAGATCTAGTACAAGGAATGAACAAGATGAGAACTTTGTACCTTCTCTTAGCAGCTGAAACACTCAATACCACAGATCCACTGCCTTCCTTTGTTCCCCGTCAAGAAGCTCTTCATCCTTCTCCATAGAAATGCACCAAGAACCACAATATGAGCTTCTCTCTCACTCTCTAGCTACAATAGTAAATAGGGTTTGCTCTCAGGGGAAGGTAGCTGCAATTGAGGCTATAAATGCCTTTAAATAGGTCCCAAACCCGGGAAATTAGGGTTTCTCTGCCCAGCACCTACTCGACGAGTCCCTCCTCTGACTCGTCGAGTCCATTCATTAAATCCACGCGGCAATCTCGACTCGACTCGGCGAGTTGGTCCCTCAACTCGTCGAGCCCCTCCTTAAATCTCAAGATTAACATACACAATAATGTCCCTGAAAATCCGGATGTTACATTATCACAGGTGTACTACTTCTTAAGAAAAAGTTCATTTCCAATTTTTCTTTTTTACAAGAATCTGCCAAAACTCACAGTCTGGAAAACATTTAATGTTTCATTTCTGGAAGTATAATGAATGACTTATTTGACCTTGTTCTTTTTTATGAAGCCTTTTCTTTTTTTTTTCTACATTCATATGTTAGTGCAGACAGAAGCAGTGCAGCTGACGCAACTAAGAGCACCACCGCAAGTACCTCCTTCTTGTGGAAGCTGAATTCTTCTTTTGCTAATGAATAAAATAATTAGTAAGCTTAGTAGATTACAATTCAAAACCAAATGCATTCAACCTACAGGATAGTCTAATCCATGCTAATTATAGTACTGACTGTGTAAAGCTCCTCAACAGAGTCCAACAGGTCATGCATAGTAATGATATATATCCCATAGATCTACAAACGGTTTCTTCAAAAGAATTAGTTTTGCCATCCAAAAAGGGCTAGCGGAGCAGCTTGTTGCCCGTTTGCCTTCCGTCGGTATGTATTGACATAAAAATATAATATAACACGATAATTCAGAGGACAATGCTACTAGAGGCCCAACCATCACACTCCACAACTCACAAACGACTTTCACTGTTATATATAGAATAAAATTTGTGTGCCTGCTAACTCAGAGGTTGACATTCGTATGTACCGTTCTTGATGATCATCATATTCTCTAATGTTCCTCAGGTCATCCAACCATAGCAAGCATCAACTTCTACCCTTTGCGATATCTAATTTAGCATAAGCAGTACAGGCACAATCCTTTCTGCACGTCATCTCACATTCTTCAAGGGACATGCTATTGTTGTACCATGAACGTCGTGTGTCCGGAAAAATCACTCCTGAAATTTTATGGAAGACATCCGGAGTCCTACAATCCAATGGCATTTTATGTTGACAGCCACTCGACCAATCCCCTGCATTCGATTCTTCTAGGACTTTTGGTTCAAAACCTTCCAAACAACTGCAAGGGAGAGAACTTTTCATGCTGTAGCTTCCAAAAGGACCACATGGTCCATAACAACTACAAGCATCAACCATTACATTTTCATACACGACCCATTATTTGGTTCGCTTGATCCACTACAACCGTTGTGCCATGCCGTCCCACGCCAAAAGAAGCCTCTGAACAGTTGTACTCTTAAGTTTATGGATATAATATATTTCTTTCTGATTCACAACAAATTCTGTGGAGTAAATTGCATTCATGCTTTCCTCAGGAATGCCTTGAAAGCTAACACCGTTCCATGGTCCAAGCCTCAAGGTTTCACCTTGACCTTCTCCCAGAAAAATTTGTGGATATCCATTTGTGTCTACCCAGAATTTATACAAACTTGTAGAAGGATCATCAGGGCTCTTCCAAGACGTGAAGTACCTCTCTATTCCTGTTATCAAATCCTTTCCAAATTTCATTCTGTAGCAAAGTGCCACACGGATAGTCAAAATGTTGCCAGATCAGTTTTTCTTTGTTTCTATAGTCATCCCACACCACAAGATTTCCGCTGTCCAAAAGCTGTGCCACAGGATTCATATTCCTGGCAAAGACCGATGTCACATTTGATGACCAGATGACATTATTAGCACCACTGTGAATCTGCAGGATTCCTTCTTTGGTGACTTTAAACACACACTACTAGAAAAAAGGTTAATGTAATACGGTTGAAATTATGAATATAGTACATAGTTTGAGCCCATATTAGTAGAGGGGTGTATTGGATTACATGCCTAATAGAGTACGGTTATTTAACCGTACTCTATATGAATCCTATCAAAGTCATCCAATATGACATACAACTATCTACTACACCATAAAACCGTACTTGATGTCACTTATTCCACCATATTTTTTCTATTCCATTCACAAGATTTCGTTCCAGCCATTCCACCCTTGTTCACATGATTTCATTCCAACCCTATTCAGCAGCCAATTACAAACCCTGTTATATAATTCCATTCCAACCAAGCCTAATCAGCCAGGAAGATATGTTAAATGGGACGACATTAAAATGAACATGGATCCTTCTTGGGTATAAATTGCCTCTTTCCTTTTTACATTAATTCAAAAGAAAACTTATCGGGACTAAACCAAACCGGTTATAAAAAACAAGTAACCCAATTAATTGATTTTTTTATTGAAACAAATATGAAATGTAGAAATAATTTACCTTCTTGGGTATAAATAGAGATAATTGTATCTGATATGTTTTGAAGAATACTGCAACAATATACTTTAAGCTACTAAGGACTGAACCACACCAAACACTAACATAGAGATTGAGGGACCTTAATCGCCAATGTTGAAATTCTGAAAGGACCCAGAGAGACTCTTATGGTTTCGAAGCTTCTTCAATTTGGATTCCAGTGTTTTGTCTCCCAAGGGTACTTCAACATGATGCATTGACCCTTGTTTTGTTGGTTCAATTGGTTCATGGACTCCAGATAGCTGCTTTATGTAGCTGTAAAATTCTTGATGAAAAGGATGGTCTAATGAGTAGTGTCTGACCCTGATCTTCTGCAGAAATGAGGCAGGGAAGGATAGTCCATTATCTGCACAACATATACCACCAAACATTATTTGGAGTTATTGATTTTCATGATTTTTTTTTTTCAAAAATGCCCTTATGGTAAAAGGATTTACCTTCAACAGCTCATCACAACCATTGCCTTGCAACACTTGAACTTTTAACTTTGTTCGTTCTTGCAGAACCTGCATGCATAGCATAGCGTTTACTAATTCTTATTATGGCATTATAGATGACAAAAGTGAAAAATTATTCATTTGCTTAAGAATGAAAGGGCAGATGCAAGAAATAGCAATGTACTTTACAATTCTTTGTTATTTCTTATTTGGGCATTGTACTTATAATATCTATCAAATTATAGCAATGGAGAACCTACTACTTTTAAACCGATAACCAATTGCTAAAATGGGTGTAAAAATTTCAAAGTACAATATGTCGTAATAAGAAATAATTTAGAAAAGTACAATGTAATATGCCCTAATAAGAAATAGTTTAGAAAAGTACAATGTTGTAATAAGAAAAATGGAAGTACAACGCAAATAGCCAATACCAAAAAAACTGAAATCATATTTTAATATTTTTTTGATACTTAAAAGTAGAATGTTGTAATAGATATCAATAGTGGGAGAGAATACCTTCTAACAAGCCAAGAATACATATGTAATTGTCTTCTCTGGGTAGTTAAGATCATCAATAGTTGAGATTGTTGTCGGCAGCTGCAGTAGCAAAAGATTAATGCTGATATTTCTTGCATTTAACCCTATTTTCATTTAATAATACGATATTTAACTTTAATATATGTGCTTAAACTAATAAGTTTGGCAATAAGATATACCTTTATTTGGTTCATATCTAAAACCTTCACACACTTGCCTATATATTTTCCCATTCTTTTTTCTTGCAGCCGGCTATAATGACTTCAACAATTAAAAATCAGCATCTAAAATGGTGAAGTAATCATAAAATAAAACCATATCATTCTCACCGAAATCACAATATTCATTAACTTTAATGTGTGATTGCACGTTATAATGGATCCGTAAGATATAATATAGAACAAGCCAAACATCTGGAACTACCTGTTGTTTCATCTACTAAAACCTGCAAGCGAATTTCATTATATTTAATGCTAAATGCAAGAAATGACAACATACTTTCATTATTTGTGTATTATGTCATTTCTTTGTATTGCAGCATTGTCTTTTGAAATTGATTTTAATAATCAAGATTATATATCTTTATTCAAGAGTATGGTAGAATGGCCATTGAATGCCTTTGGTTTTGTTCCTAGAATGGTTGGAATCACCCTTTACAAGCGAAAAATGAATCTTTATAGACGAGATATGGCAAAAAAATGCAATTCTTGTCTGATCGACTTTGTATTAAAAGAAACCTACACCAAGATTTTAACATATATCAAATGAAATAGAACTGGTTCAACAACATATTCTGTTAATGTGCATCAAAACTTAGATTATATGTGACACTTACGCCATCATAAAAGGTCTTGAAGGAAATATTTTGGGCTTTTACTTACATTAATATTTTTTGATACAACGGAAGAACATCCTTTTTCAGGAATGAGGCCTAAAAAGTAGAGGACTGGAACTGATGACAGCAATGCTCCATTAGCAGCGTGTGGGTATTTCAAGCTTTTGTTTGTGAACCTGTCAACCAAGGGAAGGGTTACAAGGGTAGTTTAGGTGTTTATGCATCAAACTAGTATTAGGAAATTACTTAATACATTTAAAGGAATATGACCTTCAATGATTTGGTATTTGTTACATAAGTTTAATCAGGTCATTAGGAGATTGATAAAAATACAAGAGTATTTCATTAGCAATATTGGTATTTCTTATGAGCAAAAGATTAATTTAATTGCTTATTACTTAATAGCTTGTGAGAGAAAAACTAGGTTCATGTTGTAATGTAAGTGAATATTGAGGTGTATCACTGTTCTATCAAAAGTAGAGCTTACGATTCTGCCAAAGAGCTCTCCTTCCGTGACAAATTCCAGTATCATATATCTTTTTGTATGGCTTGACAAAACCTAACAAAAGGAAAGGATCATGTCATTAAAAAAATTAGATATCATAACAGGATATGTATTTGCTATGATATCATAGTAATAAGAACATAACTGAAACTTTTGTAATTGAAATGTATTTCAAGATGTCAATTAAACCTCATGCAGTTTCACAATATTAGGATGTCTCACTATCTTCATAATGGAGATCTCTCTTTTAATATGCAAATCAAGCTAAAAGACCATAGTCCATGGTTATAATGCAGGTGAAAATACATAAAACAGAAAAGAGGGAAGACTGAACCATCTATGAGATACAAGCAAGATTACTAGATTAGTTTACAATATATCTAACAGGTGTGTTTTTGGGATACGTTATGTAAGGTTTTGTATAGAAGAGAACAACTGTAAGTTAAAATCAAACCTGATCCACCATTTAATGCTCCAGTTTTGTGCTTTTAGCCAGAACCTTAACAGCAACAGCCTCACCAGTCTGTTTTTTGCAAACTTGACCTCTGTAAATGTGCCTTCACCAATTGTTCGGCCAATCTCATATTTCTCCACTTTCTTTGTTACCATCTTCATCATTAATCCAAGGCTCAAAGAACATAGATCATCCACAATTTCTCTGACCTCTGATTGAAGACAATGGAAAAACTACACAACATCCAATATTTATAACTATCTGTGTAAAATAACAAAAGTCAAATTTATATAGTAAACCTATTAAACTGATTATGGAGCATTGGCATCATCAGCTCCAATCCTCTACTTTACACAAAATATTATTATTTTATGAAAGTGTTGAGCTTAAAGTATCTGTTTGACTTGTAACATCCCAAGTCCAGGTATACCTTGTAAACCTTGATCTTTTGAGAACTTGTCCATTTTGGCCTTTTTTAGAGAAAAGGTGGTAAATGAGTACGCGGGGCGTACTAGAGTGTACGCTCAGCGTACTCATATGCGTGCATTTGACGCGGAGACCACCTAGTACGATGGGCGTACCAGAGGGTACGCTGGGCGTACTAGGCCCAGAATGAAAACCCTAATTGTTGGTGAGTCCCCTATATAAAGGATATGATGGCCTCATTCCTGGCCACTATTCCCAGACACCAAACCCTCCTAACCCTAAATCTTCGTTCTTATAGCTTGTGAGTGCATTTGAGAGCTTGTGAGTGTAATCTTGTATTCTTGAAGTAGAGAAGAAGCCTTGGAGAAGGAGTGAGAGTCCAGGCTTTTGGATCTGAGCTTAGCTGTGTGGAAAGCTTCACATAGAGGTATAAAGCTTCAAGCTTTCTCACTCTTTTGATTTGTGCATTTATATGGAGTATTTTAGGGTTTTGTCCCAAAAGATGGAGACTTTATGAGTCAATGAGCTCCAGAGACCTTGATCAACCCCCTTTTAGTGTATTTTGTGGAGTAAAGTCATAAAAATCCAATCTTGGACGTTAGAAGAAAGTCATGCATGATATATGAGCTTAATGAGGAAAGAGGATGAGTGTTTTGAGTGTTTGTGACCTAATCAGCCATGCAAAGGCTTAAAGTCAATGACTTTATGGAGTAAAAGCTATTAGGGAGTCCAGATCTGTGATATGAGCCAAGGTCTTAACTGATTAAGACCAAATGAGTGAGTAGGGTGAAACTGGGACGTACGTTGGGCGTAATCCCAGTACGCGCAACGTAGGGGTCGAGCATCCCCGATGCCTGCATGGCAGCCGAGTACGCCCAGCGTAGAGAGTTGGTACGCGCAGCGTACTCCCTGCCGTTGACTTTCGGTTGACTTTTAGGGTTTGTTCAATTTGTGGACTATTAAGCTCATGGAGGGGTAAAATGGTCTTTTTCCCTCCTATGAGTTTGTTTAGTTTAGCTTCAGTAAGAGCCTTTATTAATTAGGGATAATTATCGTTGTGTTAAGCGGAGGCTAGACTGGTGATTCGAGTTCGAGATTATCCGAGTTCTTACGAGGTGAGTCTTCTCACTATACTTACCTTGAGTGGTAACCTATGTGTGACCAGAGGGTCTTATGTGCATATACTGTGTATTGAGATATCCTGCTATTTGTTTTTGTGATATGTATGATGTGTATTATATTGAGTTGCTGAGTTGAGGGACCGAAGGGTCCAGCTGAGTTGTAGGACCAGAGGGTCCCACTAAGACACATTTGACCAGAGTGTCTTATCTGAGCATAGCCATGAGAGGCTGATGAGATATGAGTGGTATTTTGGGGAACTCACTAAGCTTTGTGCTTACCGTGTTATGTGTTATGTGTTTCAGGTACTTCTCAGGATCACGGGAAGGCGCCGGCTTGATTGTACACACGTCGGAGATTTGAGTCATGTTTTGAGAGGATCCTGGATTTGTTATATATACAGTTTTTGGGATATGTGTTGGATGATTTGATACTATAATACTTTTGAGATGTTTGAATTGAGAAAAATGTGTTGTTTTAAAATTTGAAAATTTTAGTTTGAAAATTTACGTTGTTACATGACTAGTTGCAAAAGTAATCAGCATTACAAAGAATTTTGGAAAAAATGTAAAATGCCCTAATTCCTGTAGTTAATATGACCATCAGACCATTTATAAGATTTCAGATGCAATGGGCTAGAGAGGAACTTCGATCTGGACCATTCAAAAGTATTGCAAGAAGCATCAAGAAAATAATTTTGTCAATTAGGCATTTTACCAAACACTTGGTGGGGATATTGACATATATACTTTTACGCATAAAACCAAGTATAGCAATAAACTGAAACTCATAGAACAAAAACTGTAACTCGAATTCTAAATACACGTCACTGAAGATGCAAGAGGTCAACATGAGATCAATGATAAGTAGTTCAAGACATCCTAAAAACCTATAAATTTGATGTTTGATAACAGAGAGTATAAGGATATATTACAAAAAGTACGACTGTACGAGTGTTTCCTTCTTCATCCTTCATAATGGCTCTGATTCTAACCTCTACGATTGGTCATATGACACCCACCGCTTCCCTCTAATACAATACCTCGTACAAGTAACCTACGCAAGGTTGGAAATCACTGTTCATCAAGCGTAAGAGTCTTCATTGAGGTGTAGGTGAAAGCAGGCGTATTGTCTATGGTGGTTATGGTGTAGGCTAGGGTTTCGCTAGGGTATGTTGAAGATGGTTCAGGGGAGAAGGGGGTGAGTTGGCGCGTAGAGCATGATTGTGTATGATTGTGGTGGCCATAGGAGGCTGATAAGGTAATGGTGGTGGTGATGGTTAGGGGCGGAGTCAATAGGGGGACTAGCAGGTGCTCCCCCCCTAATGTTCTCTTATGTTGCTTATATTAGTTGTATTGTATATATTACTTTCTTACTAATAAACCCCATTTAATTGTTTAAGTCCAAAAGAAATCCATCATAAGCCCAACAGCCCATTCTATAGCCTATTTATGTATTGTGCAATTACAATTTCCCTATACAGTAACAAACACAATTGCATACCTACGGCAATTACAAATCATCAGCAAATAGGCTACTTCAATTGAATTTATCGGCATTCTCTTTTACCCACTTCAATTTCAAGAGAAGGTAATATCCAATTCTTATTAGTTATTACATATTTAAGTTTTTTGAAATTTGTGATTAATATTTTCGTTGAACAATATAATTTGCATTTAATAATAATATTCGGATTGGATTTTTAATTCTTATAATCATAGGGTAAATCATTAACAATCATTTTTTCAAAAGAAAAAAGATGCTCATGACCTACAACCGCATCTTGTTAGTGATAATATTAGTATAGATGTTCATAATACATATCTATAACCTTAAAAAAAAAGTAATATGAAAAAGCCGATTAATGTTGAATCTGAAAAAATGATATTTCAAATTTATAAGAGGTAAATTTAGATTCTTTCATTCTTCATCCCATAGATGGAAACAAGTGAATTGTGGTAACAATTTTTAATATATATATATATATATATATATATTATATATATATATATATATATATATATATATATATATATATACTAGTAGGCTACCCGCGCGATGCAGCGGGCGGCGAATAATTTCATTCCGGAGATTAGTAAATTTTTCCTGAACAACGATTAATATGCCTTCGATGTATTACAGGCTGTCTCGACCGTTCGTTTTTTTCGTACCGGGACTCATCTTTTATTATGATGGCCAATCTAAAGAAAAGTCTCAAACTTTTAGAAAAGATTCAATTAATTTTTTTAACAAAAAAAAGTCTTATTATTTTGAGAAAATCACATAATCTGTTGTTTATTGTTCAAATATGAAAAATGACTTTTTCGTTAAATTGGGCAAAGTATTAAATAATCACGATTATAAATTAGAACGAAAAATAGTTTTTTCCGTAATTTGTTTTGTTTCGGAAACTTATTTCTAGAATATATTCTTATGTATAATCAGTTTACTTTCGACAGGCAACACATAATAGTAAACATGCATTGTTGTTTTAGTTTTGAAATAAAAATGTGTTTTTAGTTTTTAAAATATACTTAAAATGAGGGTAATACAAATAGTTGAAATAATAGGTCGAGATGGTAAATTTCATGTTTGATGATTTGTTACCTTTGTACTTGTAATCCAAATTCAAATACAAATTGTGTAGTTGGTTTTTGGGTTAATATTAGATATACCTTATTATTTTGATTTAAAAGTAAAAATATGTTATTGTTTCATTTTTTAAATGTCAATCAGTTATTTTTGTGAGATGAAAAAAAATTGTATGTTTTCAATTAAAAATATAAATAATTTACTTTTAAGTCGCTGTTAAAAAATAATGTTTTTTGGGTTAGCCAAATAACTTATATAATAAACTATAATACAAGCATATTTATTTTTGTAAGTTTCTTTTAAAATAATCTATTATCTTAGTCTAATTTAAAAATAAATAATGATGATTATAGATTAGTAGGTAGAACTCAAATACTACATATATGTTGAGTGTCTGACTTAAAAAGTTATCTTACCCACATAAAATGGGAATTTGACTTATTAAGGTAATTAAGTATTTCAAATGTTCACATATGGGTAATATTGTTTTTTTTGTACTCATTTACCCAACTAACTTGTTTCACCCGTTCACAAATAACCAACTTTACCGGCTATTGTAGGTTTTGGGTGATGTGGCATCTACGTGGCTTGTACGCTACAATACTCATCACATACGTGGCATTGAGAAGTGTTTACATTATAAGAAAGGTGAGATACGACTGCTTATTAATTAAAACCCTAGATCGATCGATGGCATCTTCTTCCTCATCCTTTTCTTCCAAACGACAAGACGAATTGCAACCAGATCATCCATGTGATTGCGACTTGCCATCTCGTGTGAAGACATCAAGAACCCCAGACAATCCTGGAAGGAAATTCAGAGTTTGTCAAAACTCACTGGTAATTCATATTTTTTTACTTCTTCTTCATCCTCCAATTTAACATGTTTTTATAAATTTCTTGAAAAATGGAAAAAGTCCAAGCTGTAAATTTTGGCAATGGTTGGATGAGGATGAAGGGAGGAAAGATGGAAGAGGGCATTACAGGATGAAAGCAGAAGAAAGCTGCAATCTTACCTTGAAAATTTGTACCTTGGAGAATGAAATCAGCATATGCAGGATGAAGATTGAAGAAGAGAAGAACAAGAATAAACAAGAACTTGACAAAGTCAATTGGAAATTGTTTACACATAGACTTGCATTAATTTTCTTGTTTCTCTTGTATGTCAAAATGTTGTTTTAAATTATGTATTATGATGTAGTATGACTAAATTATGTATGCTTTTGTGATGTTTTCAATGAAAAAGGTTATATTCAATCATTGGAATGGAATTGTACATTGTAATGGAATTGTTATTAAACTTGATAGTATAAAAGATAGTAATAAACATTTTAATGGAATTGAATCATTGTAATTGAATCATTGGAATTGAATCATTGGAATGGTAGTGTACAAAACTTGTAATGTTATTGTGAATCATTGGAATTACATTGTTCAAACAATGTAATGGAATTGTGATTACACTGTAATGGAATTGTGATTACAATTGATATTCTAAAAGATGGTAATAAATTATAAACCATACAAATGGTATTAGAAAGATATGCAAAAGGTGGTAATACATTATAAACATTCCAGGGAACATTGACTTCAAAAGATGTATCAAAAGTTTTACATAACATAGTTACACACTTAAACATGCATTTTAAGCTATTCCAACTAGTTTTCAAAAGATGTGCCAAAAGATTCCAAAGTTAAAAGATGCCAGTCAAAGATGCCAAAAACATTAACAACAGTACAATAAGCCAAAAGTTAATCCATCCATTAGCAACCATCTAGTCCAATTACCCTCCTACAACCTTCAATCCATCCATCCTTCAATCCTTTGAAACATACATAAAACTTTGAGAAATATGTGGTTCCATCAGGCATGACATCTACATCGATCTTCACTGTTGATCCAGGGTTAGTCCTTCTTATCTCTTCTCCATAGCTCCATGTTTTTGCATAATGCTCTTTCAAAGTACCCTCTATCTCCTGAAATGCATACTTCCTTGCATTTCTGCATTGACCAACACTTGCAATCAAATTAAATTTCTTGCTGACTTTAGCTTTCAACTTCCTTATACTCATCTTTGGTTTCTGAAGTATATGATTCATGAAATGCTTTGCTATCCATTTATAGGTAACAATGGACCCAAATTTGAACACTCTTGCACAATTATGCATATCATTTAGAGATTTAATCTGGAATGATTTTTCACTGCTCATCCAGGTTGCCCACAACCTAAAGGGACAACCTTTACCCTGTTTATTTGTCTTACCTTTACAACATTTTACCAATAACCTTTCATGATCACTTTTCTCATACCATAAATCATATCCATTTTTGACTGCATAGTTGGTGATACACAACTTCAATTCCAATGGATTAGAAAACTTCATACCCAAAACTGGCACCATTTGCTCCCATTCTTGATTCTCATTATGGACAGGGAACACAACATCCTTAAGCTTCCCATTGTTTGCTTCCTCTTCATCATCATCACTAATATGCCCTAAAAGTTTGTCCAAGAATGGGTCTCCAACAGTTTTATCAAAAGTATGTTCCTCTTCATCATCCCATTCATGTTCATATTCCATTGCCATTGAAACTTCAGAATCCTTGTCATCCTCTTCATCCATATAATCCGACTGATACCCTTTACCATCTGCTAATAACTCGTTATCAGCCCAATCAAGAATTGGTTCATTTCGGTGGTCAATGTACACATCTAACTCACTCTGAAGACTATCACTCTCCAGACTATAAACAGTTTCCACAAACTCCCAATAATCAGCATCACATGCGATTCTTCTAATACCCTCACACAAGCTTTCCTTTCTCATACAGTAGTAGACATTATCACAGGCTCCATTGGTTAATTTCGTAAGCCACAAAAGAAACTCTTTATACGTAAATCCCCCAAAATCCACATCACGTACATTTGTTTTTACGGGGTCTAAGTACACCAATGGGTTTGGCGAAAAGAATCCATTGTAATGAAAATCTACAGATACATACATACCTGTAGATGAGGATGCCATGCTAGCAGTCGACTTCAATTCCAACTTCAATTTCAAGCCCTAATCGTCGATTTGATGTATCGATTGATTTCTCACAGAAGAATGTAATCGAGGTGTGTTAGAAAGGGGTGTAATGGCCACGTAAGATTCCACGTAATGTTTTCAACCCAGCTAAATCAATGTTACCGGCTAAAACAGGTAATAGCCGGTAAAGTTGGTTATTTGTGAACGGGTGAAACAAGTTAGTTGGGTAAATGAGTACAAAAAAAACAATATTACCCATATGTGAACATTTGAAATACTTAATTACCTTAATAAGTCAAATTCCCAAACATAAAATCTAGAAGATTGATATGTATATATGATGACATTAAAATTTTTAACTAAAAGTTTGATAATTGTTTTAAGTTAAAATAAATAAAATTGTTAAGACCGTATAACAAATAAAATTCTTAAATACTTATAATAAACGAAATAGTAAAAACGGGAGAATGTGGTTTAAGGCTATGTTTGGTATATATATTTATATAATAATAATTATAAAAAGATATAGTTAAATACGCTTAAAGTTTTCAATTTTTTAGGATGTTAAAATTCAATAAATTAGAATTTTTTTATTTCATTCTTTTATTACCAAAAAGATAACTGTGTTAGATTTTTGGATAGTTAGATTTTTGGATAAAAATAGTACTTCAAAATCATTTATATTTTATTTAGAAAGATTGAAAAAACTAAAACTCTCATCCAAAAAAAGTTATTAATCCATTATTTAAATATGAAAGATATAAAAAAATATGTACAAAGTTATATACATTTAATCACTTCTTTTCTTTGTACATATCATTTTTTTAAGAAAACTCACTTATTGTTTTTCACTTGTACTAATTTTTCAAGTGTTTATATTTTTGTGGTTTATTCATTTTTAGTAAATTTTGCAAAACAAAACCCGTTAAAACAACGTAATAATATATCTAGAGATTCAAAAAACTTTAAAATATCTTGCAATAATATTATGTTATTTTAACTTATACTTTATATAACATTTTTTTATGTTAGTATATTTATTTAGAGATAAATTTCTTTCTAATCATCCTAAACTGTTGTTTTTATAAAAAGTAATTATTTATAAATTTAGATATACCTTATGCATAGTTGATTTCATTTTTTAAGATGAAAAGACGTTGTTTATTTTGCTATATTAATCCAAAAGTTTTATAATTAAACATAAGCTAAATGTAAAATGAAAAATAATATTAAATATAAAAATTCATTTTTTTTGAATGAAAAGACGTATTTAACTGATAAGACTTTCACCCTTCTTTTTCTTGTAAACCACGATATAGCCACAATTCTTTTTACAAATCTAAAGGATTTTTTTTTTTTTGAAAACTTTTACAATACCCAAAGCTCTTTGTACCTACCACAACAGTTATGATAGTCACTCTATTACCCATTTCAATGTTTATAAAACTCAAACGTCTTTTTCTTTTTAATTTTTTCTTGAAACTGCTGAAAGAATCTTAACTTTTTCTACTTTGTTGCAACTCCATCTTTATCTCCATCTTTATCTTTGATTTTTTTTTCTTATAATTTTGTTTACAAAAGTCATTTATTAATTAAGTTAATCGTTTATTATAAGATAATAGTTTTCCTTAATATTATATACTCAAACATAATATTTTTATCTATAAAAAAAATTTACAGCCTCTTGAAAATATATCATTTTTTATGTATTTTTTGTCTAGAAAAATATTTTTTATTTCTAAATAGAATAGTTGCAATATGTCTTTAACTTTTTTTATATAAAAAGTATATCTCCAAATATTTAAAAATAGAAAGACTGCTCTAAAAAAAGGTAAACAAATTTTCTCGTTTAAGATCGTAATAATAAAAATAAACAAATAACCCATTCTATAATACTATTACAAATAGATAGAATATACAAATCACACGAACAACAAATTTTGCACCTTTAGGTTTTAACATCAAAACCTTACATCTAAAGAGAAAAACAAAAAAGCGGAATTTTGTTTAGTTGTGTTTTTATATCCTTCACTTGTGCATCTAAATATAAAATCATTCAAAATCTAGATATAAAATATCAAACGTAAATAATACAATACAAATCTTAATATGTGACATACAGTTCCTAGTTCTTATTCCAAATCATTGAAATCGTTTATACATATCTAAATAAGTAAAAAACATAGAACTAATTAATTCATTTATCTTTAAACAAAATATAGATACTTACAAAATGCAACAAAAAGGACATCTGAAACATATATCCACAGACTTTGAGTAACTAAGACCTACAAATATCTACAACAGATTATAAGATATCTAGCTTTGTGTCTTTTTGTGAAGAATTTGCAGATTCAGATCTGAAAATATGAAATATAAAACTCTTAGAACATCAAAATAGAAAATATATTAAACATAAATACACATATTTATACATATAAGCAGTTTTACATACATCTAGATCTATAAAACACACACATAAAGATTTGAAAATTTTAATCCTCCCCGTGGCCTTGGTCTCTGTCTGTAAAACACACACACACAAACAAATCTACACATAAAGATTTGAAATTTTTTTATCCTACCCGTGTTTGAATATGGAGGTGGCGTTGAAGAAAGAGAAGGGAGAATGTCATGAGCAACTCCATTGTTGGTGTGGGGGTTTGATGGCGGAAAGGTAATGGTGAATGGGTTAGCTGTAAGTAAAGGTAAGGATGACGTTGATCTCCATGGTCGTTGTTAATGGAGAAGATAGTGAGGAGATTCTAGAGAGAGGACAAACCAAGAAGATGAGAAATGTGATTTTAAATGAAAGGTGTTTTCATTCCCTGTAAATAAAGAAGGCAGGATACTTTAAATATGGAAGACATAACTTTTAAAGGACTGAAAATCTAAAATACTTCATTATGATTGGTTTAAACATGTTTACTTGGATCACCAACAACAATATAATCTCCACCATTCAAAAAAAACATCTAAGGTCAAAATTGACTCTCCTTGTTTTTAAGATTTTGTCTTAAATTTTGTGGTCCCCATCAAGATGTATGAAGTATAAAGTAGTAAGATATATATATATATATATATATATATATATATATATATATATATAAAGCCCCCCTTATCCAAAATTTCTGGCTCCGCCCCGGGTGATGGTAGATAGAGATAACGACAAATTGGCATCACAGTGAAACTCGGTGTAAGCCAAGGAACAGACCTTAAGAAGGCGATTGATGTCGGACGATTGAATCATTCATCAGACGATTGAGAATCATTCAAAACCTTCAAAGCCTCGTTTCAAAAAGAGGAATTGAAAAAGAAAGAAATAGGAAGAAGGGGTGGGGTAATAAGGTAATTGAGCTATATTATCACTATATTTTGGAAGTTATGTTTTTACAAAGTTTGAACAAATGAGTTTCTATCTAGCATGAAAAAGTGTAATCGTGTATTCCTCTAAGGATGAAAAAGTGTCAACTTCACAGTAACTTTCTTCGGTGAAAAAAGCTGGTTGTTTGGGTGGAGGCAGCGCCCCGTCACTAATCAGCATAAGAACTACGGACAACATAGTTGGTCTATCTTCTGCATGATGTTGCACACACAATAATCCAACATGTATTGATCGTAGTACTTCAGACACGACACAAGAGTTACGTACAGATGCACTCAAGAGTTCAATGGACTTGTCTTCTTTATATAGTCTCCACGCGCCTGAATGAAACCAAATTTCAGAAAAATATACTAAAGGATGATGTTAAAGAACAAATAGTTTCTAATCCTTTTTAGTTTACAAGATTAACTTACATGTCCAAGAAGGTTATCACTGTGAGCCTCATGAGAGAACCCTCTGTTTTTCTTCCCACTCACAATCTCCAGCACAACAACACCAAAGCTAAATTGTGGTAAAATGACTCACTACCCAAAAGGGGAGGAGGCAATTGAATAAATAGAGAGCAAACTTACATAAGAGACCCTATAAAAGAGTTACATGAACACAAACATACAAAATTACATTTGACTGATATCCCCCCTCAAGCGAGACGGAGGCGGACCTAATCGTAACATATGACGAAAAAATTCAAATTGATGACGTGGTAGGCTTTTCGTAAAGATGTCCGCGACTTGGAGCTTGGTTGGAACAAACTTAGGGTGAAGTTTCCCGGAGGTGACTAACTCACGAATAAAATGGTAATCCAGATCAATATGTTTGGCACGCTTGTGAGAAACCGGGTTTTGAGAGAGAAACAAGGCACTTTATTATCACAAAGTAAAGTCGGTCTTCCGTCCGGTAGAGCATGAAGTTCACGTAGGAGATGAGTTAGCCAAATGATTTCTGAAGCAGTGTTGGCCATAGCTCGATATTCAGACTCACAACTAGAGCGTGCAACAGTGGGTTGTTTCTTAGCGCTCCATGATACAAGATTACCCCCCAGGAATATCGAGTAGCCATATGTCGAGCGACGAGTGTCAAGGCATCGAGCCCGGTCTGCGTCCGAATAACCGACAAGATTGGTAGAGATGGGTCGAGTAAAGCTTAACCCAAATGATAGAGTACCCTTGATGTAACGAATTAATCTTTTAACTGCTTGAAAATGAGCTATAGTAGGAGCCTGGAGAAATTGGCTCACTTGATTTACCGCATAGGCAATATCGGGTCGAGTGATCGTTAAGTATTGAAGAGCACCTACAAGTGACCGATACTGACTTGGATTATCATAGCTTGGACCATCAAGAACAAGAGGTGTCACAGAAGATAAAGGTGTTGAAACAGGTTTAGAATCAAGAAGCCCGGCACGTGAAACAATATCATGAGCATATTTGGATTGGCCAAGGAATAGGCCTGAATCCGTGTGGAGAACCTCAAGTCCAAGGAAGTAGTTGAGCCTGCCCAGATCTTTGATTTTGAACTCATGATCCAATTTTTCAATGAAGGATCGAATGAGATCTGGGCGATTACCTGTGAGGATGAGATCATCAACATAAACAAGTAAATATAAGATGGAATCACCATGCTTAAAGATAAACAATGAAGGATCAGCCCGACTACACATGAACCCATTTGAGAGAAGAAACGAGCTAACACGATGAAACCATGCCCTCGGAGCTTGTTTGAGACCATAGATTGCTTTGTGTAGGCGGCAGACATAGTTTGGATGATGAGGATCAACAAAGTCGGGCGGTTGTTGCATGTAGATCGTATCACTCAATGTGCCATGGAGAAAAGCATTATTAACATCTAGCTGGTGCAAGGACCAATTATTGATGACTGTCAAAGATAATACCACACGAATAGTAGATGCTTTGACCACTGGGCTGAACGTGTGGGAAAAATCAAGACCATGAACTTGACTATATCCCTGTGCAACTAAGCGCGCCTTGTATCTTTCAATAGAACCATCAGTACGAAATTTTGTACGAAACAACCATTTACAACCCACAATATTGTGCTCGACGGGTGGTGGAACCAGAGTCCATTTTTGATTTAAATGAAGAGCTTACATTTCAGATTGCATGGCCCGTAACCACTCGGTGGTGCCCATGGCTTTGGAATGGTGTGTGGGATCCCGAGAGGCAAAGAGAGCCGAGGGTAACGGTTGATCATGCACATAGGAGATGTCTGCACGATGATTAGGTCTAAAAATTCCGGCCTTGGCTCGAGTGATCATGGGATGCCCATGGGTAGGAGGTGAAGGAGGGCTATGAGGTGAAGTTGGAGAGGATGACGAGCTTGGATGAGGATTGTCCGGAAGGCTGTCTTCAGATGAAGTCGATTGGGGTGAGCTGATGAAGTTGGTGTCATCAGGTTGGGGCGAAGGCGTACTGATAGGTGGGGGCGGTTGAGGATTAGAGGGAGGTGTGGGGGCCAGTGGCACACACAAGGTACATGGCACAGTAGGTGGGGGCTGAGATGGTGACACCACAGATGGTGGGGTGATAGGGTGTGGGGTTTTGATAGGATAGTCATCACAGAACGAGTGTATGGATAATTGAGTGAGAGGTGTGGAAGCATTGTGGGTGCCAAAAGGGAAGGTATCCTCATCGAAACGGGCATGTCGTGTTATGAATATCCGAGAAGTGACCGGATCAAGACATTTATATCCTTTGTATTGAGCATGATAACCCAAAAAAATGCACGGTATGCTACGTGGCGAAAGCTTGTGATCTGAATAATCTCGTAAGTAGGGATAAACACGACATCCAAGTGGCCGAAAATTCATGTAGGACGGAGTCCGATTGAATAAAAGCTCAAATGGGGAGCGGTGAGCCAATACTCTCGTAGGCAAACGATTGATAATATAAACTGCAGTGCTAAAGATATGCACCCAATATGATGGTGGAATATTAGCATTGAACATCATTGCAAGCCCCATTTCCACAATATGACGGTGCTTACGCTCTGCACGACCGTTTTGTTGCGGAGTATAGGGACACGATATTTGATGAAATGTGCCATTTTCAGTAAGTAATTTTTTAACTTTGTGGTTTAAAAATTTGGTCCCACCATCGCTTTGAAAAATCTTGATTTTGGTATCAAATTGCGTCTGAACAAATTTAATAAACGTATCAAAAACCTTGGAAAAATCAGATTTGACTTTGAGTGGGTAAAACCACGTAAACCGAGAAAAGTCATCCATAAACGTGACATAATAACGATATCCATCATCGGAAAAAACCGGTGACGGACCCCAAAGGTCACAATGAATCAAGTCCAAAATATGTGACGCCCGTTTGGGATTTTCCACAAACGGAAGTCGGTGAGACTTAGCAAGTTGGCACGGAGAACATGCAACTGGTTTTGGTAAAATGGATGAAACTGATAAATGTCCCAATTTATTTAACATTGTAATTATATCAAAAGAAATATGTCCCAATCGTAAGTGCCAACGTTCATAAGAGTCTCGTGGCCTGGACTGCACAAAAAACGCAGACGACGGTGGAGAGGACATAAGAATATAGAGACCATCTTCACATCGCCCTTGAGCTAGCACATGTTTCTTGATGCGGTCCTGAATAAAAAATGAAGATTTGGAAAATACCACATCCACATCATTATCATGAGTTAGCTTACTAATAGATAATAAATTTTTTGTAAGATGGGGAACCACCAACACATCGCGCAAGTGAAGACCAGTAGCGATTGAAGATGTCCCAATAGAAGAAACAGGTAAGTAAGTACCATTACCAAACATAACAGATGCTTCGCTAGTAATGGGCTCGGTTTTGTGCACAGATCCGGGAGATGAAACCATGTGATCGGTAGCGCCCGAATCAACATACCAATCGGGACGTGAAGGATGAATAGAGCACTGAGCATTGAAAGCCCTGGCAAGATCCGTGTCAGGGGGCAGTGGAGAGACAGCAAAAGAAGCAAGACGAGGGCATGACGATGCATAATGACCGTTAGTGCGACATAGCTGACAATGTGGTGGGCGACGACCACGTCCACGCCCCCCACGAGAGCCACGATAACCACGACCACGATATCCGGAAGGAGCAGAATATGTTGGAGGTGCAGAAGGGAAAGTAGCAGACTGATGTTGCTGAGCCGAGAAAGCAACTGGAGGCTGAGTATCATTGTTATGTATGGTCCGCAAAAACAGTTCATGGCCCTCAGCCTGTGCTAAAAGATCACGAAAAACAGAAGGCATCCGAGAGGCACGAATAGCTGTGGAGAAGGTTTCAAATGAAGCACCGAGACCACATAAAAACCAATGAGTTTTATCAGTTTCATCAACCGGGTGACCGATGGCAGCGAGTTGATCGCAGATTGCTTTAAATTTTCTTCCAAAATCTGAAACTGTGGATATACCTTTAGTTAAATGGCGTAACTGATCACGTAGAGTTTGCACCCGTTCCATGGAGGAGTTGCCGTATGCTCGTTCGAGGGCAAGCCAAATCTCTCTGGCGGTGGAAAGACCCACAATCTCCGAGAAAGCCTCCTCGGTGAGCGAGGCCTGAATGAGGATTATGACACGTTGATCTGCCGACATCCAAGCGGAATAATCTGGATTTGGAGCCATCTTTTCTGCAACCATAAGCATAGGGGTAGGAGGGGTAGATGACCCATCAACATGATCAAACAGGTTCTGATAGGAGAGAAGATGTGAGATTTGATTTTTCCATAATAGATAATTAGAGGATGATAGTTTAATTGTGAGAAGATGAAGGATAGAATTCATGGTGATGGTGGGATCGGAAGAAGATGAGGAAGACATGGGGAGAAGAAAAGATTAAACTGAAAAGGAGAGGAAGAGATTAGCAGCGGCAGAAGAGGGATGTGAAAAAAAGAGGGATTTATTTTCAGAGCCGGTCCTGAAAAAGTAAATATTCTCAAAGGCCCAGGACGAACAAGAAAAAAAAGGCCCTTATCTTTATTATAATTTTTTATTTTTAAATAAAAATATATAATGAAAAAAATTAGGCCCTGTGCAGCTGCCCACTTTGCCCCCCCTCAAAGCCCCCCATGTTTATTTTTCTCTCTGATACCATGTGGTAAAATGACTCACTACCCAAAACGGGAGGAGGCAATTGAATAAATAGAGAGCAAACTTACATAAGAGACCCTATAAAAGAGTTACATGAACACAAACATACAAAATTACATTTGACTGATATAAATACATCCGACTTTATAGAGAAACGGCCATGTACTGCATACTCAGGAGAAATGTAACCACTGTAGCCAAGTTTATTTAACATAAAAAAGATTAGTGGGATTTGCATTTGTTTGTATTTGTTCCTTTGTCTTGGAAAATGTTTTACGGATTCTTACTGTGTTTCAACCACCTTCTTTGTCCTAGCCATGGCATCCTGTCCTACAAACTTTCGAGCAAGGCCAAAGTCTGATATTTTTGGATTCATTTCACTGTCCAGCAAGATATTACCTGCCATGAGATCTCTATGGATTATTTGAAGGCGGGAATCTTGATGTAGATAAAGAATACCTCGAGCTATACCATGGATAATGCGAAAGCGCCGAGGCCAGTCAAGCATTGAACCTTTGGTTTCATCTGACAAATATGAACCACTTAAAAATCAGTCCATGCATGTTGCTACAACAAGTGTGAAATTAAGGCAATAGAGGGAGTCAAACCAAATAAAAATGAGTCCAAGCTTTTGTTTTCCATGTACTCATAAATTAGAATCCTTTCATTTCCATGAATGCAATATCCAAGGAGCTTCACAAGATTCTGATGCTGAAGTTTGGCAATACAAATGACTTCATTTTGGAACTCATCAAGTCCTTGATGTGATGTTTCTGAGAGACGCTTTACAGCGATTACTCGTCCGTTTTCCAGCACACCCTGCAGATAAATATTGGAGCTTATGATTCTAATATTTCTTTGTCATTACAGCCATGTATTGCATCTTTTTTTCAAGAGAATCAGCAAGTTACCTTGTAAACTGGACCAAAACCACCTTCTCCGATCTTATTATCAATGTTAAAGTTATTGGTGGCCTCGGCTATTTTATGCAGGCTAAAAAAAGGTAGCTCATCAAGGCTTTCCATCTGAACACTCGTATGATCTTTATCAAGAGTAGGTGCCCTGCTTCCTAAAAAGTTCATTTTTAATTTCTCATGGTTACACGAATATGCCAAAAATCATACTCTTGAAGACATATAATATTTCATTTCTCGAAGAATAATCAATGGCTTGTTTACCTCGTCCCTTTTTATTAAGCCTCTTCACTTTCTTTCTACATGCATATGCTACAGCAGACAAAAGTAGTGCAGCTATCGAAACTGACAGCACCACCGCGAGTACTCCCTTATTCTTGTTGAAGCTGAATTGGCTTTCTGCTAATGAATAAAATAGTTAGTAAGGTTACAATTCAAAACCAAATACATTCAACCTGTCGGATACTGACAATTGTTTTTGTCAAGATTCCTTATTAATTAGTGTATAAGGTAATTCTTGTTAGTGTGTCCACAATGCATTGAGTTCATTTTAGTTTAAAAAGGTTTCCGTATCATCATTCTACTCTGCATACAACTTTACTAAAATTTTCCTACAATACACTGAACTATATAAAGTTTAATGGAATATTTCTAAAATCTAATTTATGACATATTTAATAATTAAAAGATTTCTTTTTTTCCCATTGTAGAGTTTAATGACCATTTAACTCCACATCCATTTGAACACCAACATTCATCTCAGAATGGTAGAGTTCAATGCATGCCATTAGGAATTCCAACTTATTCAACTCTTCCATTCAACTATGCATTGTGGCCGCTCGTAGGTTCAATTAAATCTGCATCCTATGTATGTCTAATAAGTTTTATGGCTAAGAGGATTAGCTAGCATACACAAGGTAGTCTAATCCAGGCTAATGTTAGTACTGACTTTGTAAGGGAAATGAAAAACAAGCAACACATGGACTAAATTTAGAGGATAACGCCGGTAGAGACCCAACCATCACACCCCACAACTTACTCAACAGGCTCAAGAATTATCACTGTTATATATAGATCAAAATGTTGGTACCTGTTAACTGAGAGGTTGACATTCTTATATAAAGTTCTTGATCATCATCATACTCTCTGATATCCATTAGCTCATTAAACCACAACAAACATCCTATTAGACTAGGAAACTTTATGATGTATATTATATATTTTGTAATTCTCATGGTACTAAACTGTAACATTTGTAAGTATATATATATATATATATATATATATATATATATATATATATATATATATATTCTAGTCAATGAGAAAGAGCGAGACACGTTGAATATTTTACAATCCATTATGGTATCAGAGTTATACCTCTGATCTCCCCAACAACCCTAGCAGCCGAAAACTCAAGTCACGGCTCCAGTTACAGCATCGATTCCCTTCTCATCTTCTTTTCGTTCTCAGCACTTGTAATTCTATCTTCATTAGTAGCATTCCATCTTCCAGTCACGGCTCCAGTTACAGCATCGATTCCCTTCTCATCTTCTTTTCGTTCTCAGCACTTGTAATTCTATCTTCATTAGCAGCATTCCATCTTCCAATCAGAACCTGATTTTGCTTTCTTTGCATCTGATTTATCTTCATTATCTCCTCATTCATCTTCTTCTCTAACGTTCGAATGGCTAATCTACATCCTACTCTTACAGTTACCAACATCAGGAATTTCATTCCCATTGTGTTGGACCAGGATGATGGACAATACACGACATGGGTGGAACTCTTCAAGATCCACTGTCGCGCCCATGATGTAATTAATCACATTATTCCCGCTGAAGGATCTTCATCTAAATCACCCAGTGATAAAGATAAAGAAAAGATGGATGACAAAGTTCCATGGAAACGATTAGATTCTTTAGTTCTACAATGGATTCACAATACAATCTCTAAGGATTTACTAATCACCATTCTCAAGCCAGATTCTACTGCTGAACAGGCATGGAAAGCCTTGGAGAATATATTCATTGATAACAAGCCTTCAAGAGCCTTATACTTGGAAAACCGGTTCTCTAATGTCCGGTTAGAATCTTTTCCCAATGTTTCTGCCTACTGTCAAGAGTTAAAAACTCTATCTGATCAACTCTCAAATGTTGATGCACCGGTTTCTAAGGATCGGTTGGTGCTACAATTGATTGTTGGTCTTGGTGAAAAATATGAAAACATAGCAACACACTTGCAACAAACCTCTCCCCTATCTGATTTTTATACAGCAAGGTCCAAACTTATTTTGGAAGAAACCCGAAAAGCTCACATTGCAGCCACATCTTCTACTGCGCTGCTTGCTGCCTCAGAAAAAGCTCCTGCAGCAGCCCAACAATCCATCTCACACAACACAGGTAGTCGTGATAGGTCTGGTTATGATCAGCAACAACACCACACAGGAGTCCGTGGACAGCAGGGTCGCGGTGGAGGTCACTCAGGCAGAGGTGGGCGTGGACATGGCCGGGGACGTGGTCGCGGACGTGGGAACAATTTAGGTCAGGGTAACTACTTTTATCCACAAACTCCTTGGAATGGTTGGAACTCTAATGGTTGGAATCCTACTTGGCAACAACAACAACAGTGGAAAGCCCCTCCTGCACCATATCCTACCACACCAGGTAACAGGCACCCTAACCGAAACACATTTGCAGGTGTTCTTGGCAGCCCACCTTTTGGTTATGCAGACTCATATACACCAACAAACATCGAGCAGGCTATGTACACCATGACTCTCAATCCTGATCAGAATTGGTATTTGGACTCCGGGGCTACAAATCACATGCCAAACAATACAGGTAACATTTCCCGTTATTTCAATAATGGTATACAAAACAACATAGTTGTTGGCAACGGTTTTCAAATCCCAATTCATGGCACCGGTCACACAACCTTACCACCACCCTTTCCACCTTTACAACTCAAAAATATTCTTCACGCACCTAAGCTAATCAAAAACCTTTTGTCTGTTCGTCGTTTAACCACTGATAACAATATATCCATTGAATTTGACCCTTTTGGCTTTCTTGTGAAGGACTTTCAGACGCGGATTCCTATCCTCCGATGTAACAGCACTGGAGATCTCTATCCTCTATCACTGCCATCTACTCGAGTCACTCCTCCTTCCACTTTTGCTGCCCTGTCTCAAGACTTATGGCATCGCCGCTTGGGGCATCCTAGTTCATCATTATTGCGTGTTTTGAATAAGAACAACTTTATTTCTGTTGGCAAATTTTCTGATAAACATTTATGTCAATCTTGTGTGTTTGGTAAACATATTAAATTGCCTTTCTATAGTTCTTTGACTTACACCTCAATGCCATTTGACATACTCCATAGTGATTTATGGACCTCCCCGGTTGCAAGCACCGGAGGTCATCGATATTACCTCTTTTTCCTTGATGATTATACCAACTATCTTTGGACATTCCCATTAAGTAATAAATCACATGTCTATTCCACTTTTCTAAATTTCTCCAAATTTATCAAGACTCAATTTGAGCGTGATATTAAATCGTTTCAATGTGATAATGGAACCGAGTACAATAATAAATCCTTTCATGATTTTTGTACTAAAAACGGAATGGTTTTCCGTTTTTCATTCCCCCACACTTCACCACAAAATGGTAAAGTCGAACGTAAAATTCGATCAATTAATAATATAATTCGGACTTTACTTACACATGCCTCTCTTCCCCCCACCTTTTGGCATCATGCACTCCAGATGGCCACATATCTTCTAAATATTCTACCTACTAAAACGAAAAACCATTCCACTCCTACATACTTGCTATACCGCAAACATCCAACATACCATCACTTAAGAACCTTTGGATGCCTCTGCTATCCCCTATTACCTTCCACTTCCATTCACAAACTTCAAAATCGATCCACCCCGTGTGTTTTCCTTGGTTACCCCTCTGATCATAGGGGATACAAATGCTACGAACTGTCAACACGCAAAATCATTATCTCAAGACATGTTGTCTTTGATGAACATGTTTTTCCCTTTGCTACTCGCCACTCCATCCCTCCATCTTATGAATTCCTCCACTCGTCTTCCGATGACCTACATCCCGCCATATGGAAATTAGTTTCTATGAATCAAAATACTACCCCACCACCTCTACCTCCAAACCAACACACTACTACACATCCTTCATCTTCTACCCCACCCCCATCACCTTCCTCCCCTCCTCCTCCTCGCTCTGACGCCCCTCCCCGCTACGTTTATAGTCGGCGTCCAAAACCCACTGAAACTCAACAACCTTCACCCATCACTCACACTTCGACATCTGTCACTACCTCTCCCACACCGAACCCCACACCGGTACCCCCTACTCAACCAACCCGCACTATGACAACCCGTAGCATGACTGGGAACACAAAACCAAAACAACCCCTCAACCTACACACTTCTACTACCTTCGAACCATTACCCCGTAACCCAACCGAGGCCCTTAACAAACCCGTTTGGAACCGTGCCATGACTGATGAGTTTAATGCTCTTATTGACAATAACACTTGGGAATTAGTACCTCGTGAGCCGCATATGAATGTTATACGTTGCATGTGGATTTACAAACACAAGACCAAGTCAGATGGTTCACTTGAGCGCTACAAAGCGCGACTGGTCTGTGACGGGAGAACACAACAGGTCGGGGTCGATTGCGATGAGACATTCAACCCGGTTGTTAAACCGGCAACTATACGCTCAGTTCTTAGTATTGCATTATTTCACGGATGGGAGATTAATCAATTAGATGTCAAGAATGCTTTTTTACATGGACATCTGGCAGAGACGGTTTATATGCATCAGCCTGCCGGTTTCCATCATCCATCTTATCCTCATCATGTTTGTAGACTGAGGAAATCATTGTACGGTCTAAAACAGGCACCACGGGCATGGTACCAAAGGTTCACAGATTATGTCACCACTTTGGGATTTCACCATAGTTCATGCGACCATTCATTGTTTGTTTATAGAAATGGTCACGACATCGCTTACCTTTTACTCTATGTGGATGATATCATTCTTACCACGTCATCATCGGTATTAAAGCAACATCTCATGTCTTGCCTGTCACACGAGTTTACCATGAAGGATTTAGGGCCTTTGCATTATTTTCTTGGTATTGTTGTCACTAGAAATCCAGGAGGCCTATTCCTATCTCAACAGACATATGTCACAGACATCCTCCGTCGTGCTAATATGACAGATTGTAATTCGGTTACTACACCTGTTGACTCTGCAGGAAAACTAAGTCATTCTACAGGAGACTTGATAGATGACCCAACCACTTACCGGGGTTTGGCTGGTGCCCTACAATACCTCACTTTCACTCGACCCGATATCTCATACGCAGTACAACAGGTGTGCATGCATATGCATGTTCCTCGTCTAGCACACATGAATGCTCTTAAACGCATTCTCAGGTATATTAAGGGGAGTCTATCTATGGGTCTTCACATGCATCGCAGCAACCCATCCATTCTTACAGCATACACGGATGCTGATTGGGCTGGTTGTCCAGACACTCGTCGCTCTACTTCTGGATATTGCGTTTTTCTTGGTGATAACCTTCTATCATGGTCTTCTAAACGGCAAACCACAGTCTCACGATCGAGTGCAGAGGCGGAATATAGAGGTGTTGCAAATGCAGTTGCTGAAATATGTTGGTTACGTAATTTATTACTCGAATTGGGTCATTCTCCAATGCATACTTCTTTAGTTTACTGTGATAATGTTAGTGCGATTTACATGTCGGGCAACCCCATACAACATCAACGCACTAAACACATTGAGATTGATATTCACTTCGTTAGAGAAAAGGTACAACGCGGCCAAATCAGGGTTTTACATGTGCCGTCTCGATACCAGCTTGCCGATATATTCACCAAAGGTTTACCACGAGTACTTTTTCAAGATTTTCGATCCAGTCTAAGTGTCCGCAATCCTCCCCCTTAGACTGAGGGGGTATATTAGACTAGAAAACTTTATGATGTATATTATATATTTTGTAATTCTCATGGTACTAAACTGTAACATTTGTAAGTATATATATATATATATATATATATATATATATATATATATATATATATATATATATATATATTCTAGTCAATGAGAAAGAGCGAGACACGTTGAATATTTTACAATCCATTACATCCACTTCCCCCATTTCTGATATCTAAATTAGCATAAGTTGTACAATTACAATCCCTTCTGCAGATCATCTCACATTCTCCAAGTGTCATGCTTTTGTTGTACCATGAACGTCGTGTGTCTGGAAAAATCACTCCTGAAATTTTATGGAAGAAATCCGGAGTCCTACAATCCAATGGCTTTCTACGTTGACACCCACTCGACCAATCCCCTGCTTTCCATTCTTCTGGGACTTTTGGTTCAAAACCTTCCAAACAACTGCAAGGGACAGAACTTTTCATCCTGCAGCTTCCAAATGGACCACATGGTCCATAACGACTACAAGCATCAACCACATGGTCCATTCTTGGTGTCTGCCTGTTAGCAACCCAGACAACTGTACAGGGTGATATGTTTTTGTACCATATCCCCAAATATCGATTCTTTGACTTTCCGGGGCTAAAAAACCCCAGTTCATACGTCTCACCATCTGAAACAATGGTGTTGCCATCTTTGATTGGTTGATTTGCAGATACAGACATACAGTACTGTCTAGTGCAGCAGAACATGACAAGAAAAAAGAATACATTACAGTATAGCAATACAAGGACAGTGCGACATAGCTCCGTTAACTAATGACGTGCGCTTGAAGATGGCTAGTGGTAAACGTGTACGATAAGTTTGAAGTTTGAATATTAGAACTTACATATATAAGTTATTGACTTGAAAGGCTCAGCGTTGACTTCTACACGTTTACTTTCGTATGTTCTACTCTCAGCTTGACCGCCGTTAACCTACAACTTCAATGAAATTTGAAGGAAATTTTATTACATTTTGGTAAAACACAAGCAAAGATGCTAGTTTTTAACCAAATAATAATAGTTGTAAAAAATATTTATCAAATTATATAAAAGAATATAGTTTTTAATTAATTATTTACTAAAACATGCTTTAAATAAGTTGAAAATAACACAATACCACTACAATGTTTCAAAAGTTGGTCAATTCAATTCCTAAAGTTATTTTACTGTTTTATAAAGTTATATTATTGTTTATCGAGTCTAAATGATCGCTTTGGTCAAATTAAAGGGTAAAATAGTTACCGACAAAATTGCAAAAATGGTCCCTGTGGTTGGCAAATTTCTGCAGTTTTGGTCCAAAACGATACCTTGGTGCACCACTGGTCCAATTTTGGATCTTTTTATTGTTTTTGGTCCCTACACACTTAAAAAGACAATTATGCCCTTACAATTTATATTTTTCATTTTCTTTAATTCCAGAAATACATAAATTAATTTAATTTATATTTTTCATTTGTAATTTCTCTCTTAACAAAAGAAACACACACACAATTAAAAGATCGAGTTCTTGAAGGTGGTTGAGTTGACTGTATTTGACTGGGATTCGACCAGAAAACGAGTTGTTATTCTGATACAAAATGATCAAACTGTTTGGCAAATCTTGTAGATCTGGTAAATCACCAGAAAACCCATTTTTGCTCAATCTTAAACCGGTCAAAGTTGATAACAAGTCAACCCCTTTATCAGTTAATTCATTTGCTTCTTCTCCCCCAACACAAACACCCACAAAAACCAATCAACACCACCACCACCAGTGTTGAAAGACTTCGTCGGAATTTGACACACGTTGATTAACTAGACTCTGCTGGTGGTGGATCCATCTCTCCTTCCCCATCTCTATAAAGAAGGCTATAGATGAAGGAGGCAAGTCTTGTTTTTCGAGAAGTTGCAGCTCCGGCAAGAACTAACCGGTAATCTTTTATCCTCTTCTGTCGGCATTTAGGTGAAACAAAATAAACTGGATGTTGAAGTCGTCCCTAATTCAATCAGTGAGAACAAAAAAGCAAACCATAGTCAATTAAACTGAATGTTGAGTTGCTGGGATTTCAATTTTAAAACCAACAAAACACATATTTATGGAAGAAATCAAAATTGATTTTGAAATCTAGCAAAATACAATCATTGCATTGTTGGGATTTTGATTTTATAACCAGCATAATATATTTTTCATTTTGAAACCAAACAAATTGAGGGCACAGTAGGCAATGAACCCATTTGAAGAAAACGAAAGGGGTTTTGTAGAATGAATTCTTCAGCGTATTTCTCATCTAAAACCTCATTCTCTCCCCTGTTCTTCCTCCATCTCTCCCCTCCGCATGAAAAGACAAAACCTCTGCCTCGCCTACCTGTTACATCACATCACATCATAAGATACTCCACCGCCCTAAAATCACCGCCACCATCTTCGTTGGAGACAAACTCCCCGATCGCTGGTTGTATCAAGGTGGCGCCAATGTGGATACCTACGAATCTTGGAATGTGATTAGGGTTGAAGCAGCATCCGTTTTTTTCTCAGGAAATCGATGGTGGAGCTATACAATTGATGAAGATAAAGAAGAACAAAGGAAGGGTTCTCTGTGTCGGTGATCGATTGAATGCCAGAAGGAAGCAAATGGGAGGGGTGTATGGTGGTTTAGGTTTTTAAGGGAAACAATTGAAAGGGAAGTACCCAAGCCACACTCTTTGGAGAGAGAGAGAGAGAGAGAGAGAGAGAGAGAGAGAGAGAGAGAGAGAGAGAGAGAGAGAGAGACGTGAGTAGGAGGGGTGGGGTAGGTGTTTTTTTTTCTTTTAATAACTAGATGGGTATCATGCGCCCCCTTGGCGCTGAGTAATTTTATTTTTTCTTTTTTCAGGTTGTATATGTAATTCGAAGTGACAAAAAGCAAAGTCAATTAGGATTCATTCAGAAATTTCTAAATTTTTTTGAAAGGAAAAAAAATCATATGGTCCATATACGACATACCTCTTTACTACTACGTCCATGAAGGACTACTGCAGGAATTCGGGTGACGAAGTCGCCGACCTCACCGGAAGTACCCCGTCTGGAATTCAACATTCCATTTCAACTTAATTGTCTCCAAATTAGAATTCAATGTCAGCCGCAAATAAAAAAAAATTAAGTAAATAACTAAAATCACGGTTCAGGATTCATGTTTGAGCTGTTTTCCGGTTTTCAAAGCAAGAAACAATTGAGAAGTAGTATTTGTAAAAACTCCTACATATCTTTTACTTGAAAATATCTGCACAGAAGAAGTATGAATTACTTTTTAATTATTTGAGTAATTGTACTACACAAAAATAAAAATAATAAATTTTTTGTGAAGGGGTAGTGTTTAATATTTTACAAAAAGTTTACCAACAAAAACAAAATCCAAATTATACTGAAATCGAACAATAGGTTCGTTAAAATCCGAAATGAAAGTCTGCTTACCTGCAAATTACAAATCGTCTGTGGTGTAGACATCGAACAGCTGAATCTACATAGTTGACATCAACATAAAAACACAGGAAACATTATATAGTTGACATGAGCAAAAGACATACTAGATTACATTGTACATATGATGCTTATATTCTTAGATAATCTAATCGTTGTTATCGGTGGCTATATGCTGGGAAATTCATCTTCAGAATCTTTTAGCTCCATTTTTAAATATGTGATAACTGCAAAAAAACAATACAAAATTCAACTTTTAGAATGTCATACAAACCGACAATGTTCCCTTCGTTTATTGTCCTTTTCATTGCTATAATTTTTTTTCAGAATGTATTAACTCTACTGCTTACTGATTCTCCCTACAACCCAGTTACACCACCATGATTGATCCCCTAGAAAATACCAAATTAAATCACTACTAAATATCGATACATTCAAATTCAAACATATATGAAAATAAGTGTTATATATAATTGACAAAATCAAGCAGAGGTGGTAGTTGTACCTCAAAGGAAACACGAAAGATAAATACTTCAACAGAATGTTTATAATGGTCAATCTGTTCTCGGCAATAGATCAGGATCTTCTACTTCTCCTCCATTTGATCTATAAAAAATAAAAGATAACAAAATTATATAAAAAAAAGAAAGTTACACACAATTACTGACAATCAAATAACAGATTATGTAAAAAAATTGCTATTTATGATTAAGAAATATGAAGTTCATGGTCAAGTACGTTGCTATTACTGGAAATTTACCTAGAAAACAATTGCAAGAATAAAAGGTAGGGTTTTTATCGATCACGACAACCGGACAAAACACAATCTCAGATAAATGATATGATGATTTTACCTGACTTTTCTTTGTTGGAATTGTGGTGTTTCTACCAATAACCTTAGTGAAGATCCCACCAAGTGTCTCAATACAAAGAGAAAGAAGAGTGACATCAAGAATAAACAACTCTTTAAAATCAGCACAAAGAATTCCACATTCAATTGCTGCAATTAAGTATCCACTTTCAATTAATAATGAACAAAAAATACATCAAGTTTTGAGTTATAAAACTGCACAACCTGAAATGTTTGTCATAGGCTTTGAATTTTCGGTTTATTTACTGCACAACCCAACCAATAACAAATTAGATTAATTACCAGCTTGCAAATTTGTATAAACTCTCAATAACCCACATCCAGGTAATTACCAGCTTTCATAAGATGTTCTTACGTCAAAGGAAGATTGGAGCGAAAAATCAGAAACCTGGTTGAAGCATTTCATCGAGCGGTTGGAGTGCTTTATCAAACTTTCTTTCAAATGTTAACCTTAAACGCAAATAAAACTGTACAACCTGAAACCTGTGTTGGAGAGAGAAGATGAAAATCCAAATCAAACACAATGGAAAGCAAAACAGGAACCAAAACACGGATCAATTTTTTATTAACCAATTTCAAAATAAATTCAACTTCCAATTAATTAGTCTCAATTAAATAAATCAGGTGAATTTTTGTTGTTCTGCAAGTCAGTGTATTTCATCAAGTAAAGGAGTTTTGATAAAAAAAATTACGGAGAAGCGACTGATTTGTATGTGATAGTTACGATTAGAAAATGAAGGAAGAATAAAGGTACTGTCGGCACAACAATCTACCATAGTGGAGAAAACCAAACATGAAACAAAATCAATAGGTGGACAAAAATCAGTGAAAGAGGAAATCAACAATCCATTCAGGACCTGAAAATATACATATACTATTACACATTTACACAAACACACAGATAGAGGTATAAAAAAAATTAGTTGTGATGAAAAAGAAAAATTAAAGAAGCATACAGTTCAAACAAACGTTCGATTATATGTTAAAAAATGTCACCATTTTTTTTGCAAATATAACTTCCGGTTCAAAATAACGTATGACTATATGTTAAACAAAAAGATTACCTGACATCCTCTAATTTCTTCAACTGTCTTTTCTTGAGATATTACTGCGTCGCAACTTTTATGAAAAAGAAAAACTAAAGAAGCATACAGTTGAGTATGAAAAAAAAACAAAATAAAAAGATCCATAATAGATGAATATTACAATAATTATAGAAAAAGGTTGGATTGAAACCTTAAAGCTCCAACGTTAGCATCTTACAACACATTGGTTCTCCTAATCCGCTCCTCTATTAAAAAAGAAGTTGAGTCGGGCATTTTATCGAACACCTGGTGCGCAAAACGAAATACAATTACAAGTAATAACAAATTCTTTGAACAATGTGTCAGTTCCTGTTTGGACATTCCATTTTTCGTTTCTCTACAACATAGATGGACCTATAATTCAAAAATGTATTTATTTATATGAAGATAGGTTAAAAATAAAAATACAGAAGAGGGGGAAGGCATGAGGAACCTTACGTGATGTGCTTTCTCTCTCAGACCTTCTTTTTTTCAAATCCTGCCAAAACAAAATCCAAATTCTAACATATTCAATATCTTCAAATTGACTGGAAAAAGTGGAAATAGAGTGTAATTGCGTTTTAAGAAAAGAAAATTAGTGAATTTATAAAAGTTATGAGAGAAAGTACCTGACAAGGTATACGACAGTAGTTATGATAGCCTCGCCACGGGTGTTACAGACACGTAGGACAGAAGCTCCGCGGTCGGCTCCGTCAGGTCTGTTGTAGCAAGGTTTGGAGACGACGTTCCATCAGCAGCTAATCGAAGCTCAGAACGATATGGTCAGATTTCAGACAGCAGATTTTGTTATTGGGTAAGAGAGAGGTAGTGAAGCGGCAATCCGTATGGCGGTCGTCCAGATTTTGTAGAGCGATGAAAAACGAAATTAGGACGGAAGTAAGAAGGGATCGAGAAGGAATAGGGTTAAAAGGAAAGCAGGAGAAGGCATCCCATCCCATTGGAAGGCGACGGCGGTGAGTCCAAGAAGTCGTGTGGGATAAGCTGTGAGTCCAAGAAGAGGCGGTGGGATAAGCTGAATTATTAAAATGAGGGCAGAAATAAAACTTTCGTGGTCAAATTGTAAGTCCAAGAAGTCGTGTGGCCATCCTCTGAACTCCCAAACATTCCTGTTCACCAGGTTTTTAAGGATTAATAGTATATACAATAAGAAATTAATAAAAGAAATATAAGGGCATATCCGTCTTTTTAAGTTGGGTGTGGACCAAAACCACACAAAAATGTCAATCATAGGGACCAAAATCACATAAGGTATTCGAAATTGGACCAATGGTGTACCAACATTTCGTTTTGGACCAAAAGTACATAAATTTGCCAACCACAGGGACCATTTTTGCAATTTAGTTACCTTTTATTAAATGGATGAATAAAAAAAATCAAAAATCAAAAATAACTACAACCATTATGTTTCTTCATCCACCATTATCTCTATGACTCGATCATTATATTGCACACAGATTGATGACAGTGAGCTTAAACTAACGTTTCTTCATCCACGATTATCTCTATGACTCTATCATTAACAACATACCTAACCATACCCACCATAAGCTACACCACCGTAAGAATCTTTATAACCCAACAGCATCACCATATTCATCACCATATTCTTCACAGCTAACCCTTCACCAACTCACACCCCCCTTCATATCCCTCATAAGCAATCAAAAAGCACCCACTTTCCGTCAGAATAGCTACGGACTCAAAAGTCAACATAAATTTGTCGATAAATACCAACGGAATACAGTAAAAGATTGTTTTATTTACTTTCTGTCACAAACTGTCGCTGTTAATAAAATCTTTAAAAACACAACGTTGGAGTTCGAACTCAAGCGATTCCTGTTTGTGAGTGAGGGTGTGTGTGTGTGTGTGGTGGGGGGGGGGGGGGGGGGGGGAGGGGGGGAAGAGGTTCTAACCATCTTCTTAATATCTTATATACACCAATTATTATTATTATTATTCTTTTTTTATCTTTCACCACCACCACCACCATCGTTTATATTATTATTATTATTATTTTTCATTATGAGAATGCTAAACATAGTCTTTTTTGCCTCGGTCTTTTTATATATGTATACGTTTACGTGTATGTATGTACGTACACATTTATTATTATTATTATTATTATTATTTTACGTGTATGCATGTGTATATGTGTGATAATTATGTGAAAATAACCAAGCAAAAAAAATATTAGCAACCGAATCATGGAAAATAATAATAATAATAATAACTAGAGAACTGCTCCCCGCTTTGCGGGGGTCGGAAGCCTTCAATGTTGTTTTTTTGTTATAGTTAAATGGTATTGCGTTTAATATTCACTAGTTTGATTACCACGTTTCTGTCAACAGCAGAGTAAGCCCATGTTCTTATTACAAACCAAACCAACAAAAAAACTATAGTCCCTTTGCAGTTATGAATGAGCAAATAAAACCATTGATTCAATAATGTGTATGTAACCTCACAACCTCTTTGTTTTCCGATTGATCCAACACCACTTAAATTACAATTTCAGTACAATGTAGACGAATAATAAATTTTTTTGTAAAAAATAAAAATAAAAGTCAAAGTAAATTCGCTAGAGACCAAACCTCTCTTCGCCTCACTTCTTTCTGGTGCGTTTCTACATGCCGCCTACAAGTGACATTGACACACACATATGAAGTTTGTCAGTAATAATAAAATATAATCAATAAAGAATGTGTGAAAATGACAATGTACTTGCGTTGCTTCCCAAGATTTCCATCAAAACAAAATATAATTAAAGAAAAGAAAAAAATTCATCTTTTTCTCTAAGACGTGTAAAATTGAAATTAAGTTGAGTTTTTTTCCTTGTCAATGTCATAGTTGTAAAAGTAATAACATAAGCTGATATAAGCGACTGTTACATATTCCCATTGTTGGTAAGTAAGTTGTTATTATAGACAAAGAAATGTAAGTATGGGTGAAAAGTAAAATACATTGTCTATATTGGTAAAAAGTTTCCAGTAAGTCGATCAAAGTTTTTTGAAAAAAAAAAAAACTTGATAAAGAAGTTGGCATATTGTGACAAAAGAAACCCCATCAGAAATAGTAATATCAACATGGGAGGTAAAATCGTCCAATGTAAGCCAAAATACCATATTACACTCTATCCAAATAGATACACAAGACATCAAACCTGAAGCAAGGGTAGTTTTGTCCAAAAACTTGAAATCGTCATCAGGTAGCATTAAAATCAACTACAAGGGCAAATTCGTCCAATTTGATAAAGTGACAAACTTAAATTTAAACCTTGTGATGAAAAATGGTACTTTTCTTCCTTGAACTTAAGTTCATTTGGCTTTATTTATAAAACAAAGGGTTAGAACTAAAAACCCAAATGCTAGATTTGACATAGACAAACAAACGAAATCTGTCAAATTAATTTTTTTAGGGAAAAACAAAATCACATTCCTCAACAACTCAAAAAGATGAAAAATTAAGACCTTACATGAGTGAAACAAAAAATTCTATCCGAATATTCATGCGCTACTTACCTGTATGAGATACATGTCTGTTTTAAAACACAAAATCATGCATAATGCAACAACTTACATAATAAACAACATCAATAACGTGGAGGGTAAAAATGGCATATATGTTTCTCATTTATTTTGACATTAACACTTGGTATTACGGTTCGATCCAACACCCCTTTACCCTTGTGAGAAACAAATTGATCAGAATTATAGGCAATATAATTTGTATGAACTTTGTTTTATAAAATTACATATATCCTTTTGATTCTATGAACACCCAATTACATGAACATCACACCATAAAGTGAAATTGGTCAATTTGAAGTAAACACTCTTAATTACATAAAGAAAATTGGTCAATTTCAAGTAAATAGAAACAAAACAATAGTGAAAACAGAAATGAAACGTCATATTGAGAAAAAAAAGTTGTAAACCAATGACCTTTCTCTTTGAAGCATAAAAACAAACAGCTGGCATGCAATTTGTAAATGACAATATAAGATTTCAAGATAATACCATTTTTGGAAAGTAAGGGAAGCAACCAAATGATAAGACAGTTGCTTTGCTAATTCTCTGGTTGGCAGAAGCACAAGGATCGTAGGTGACCTGCCATTAGCGATGAGCATAGGCGGGTATCCGCCTCATTTTGCGAAAACCGGAATCAGAACCGGAACCGGCGGTTCATAGAAAGTTAGAACCGGAACCGGTCAAGGCAGTTCTTAAATTTTTGGAACCAGTCCCGGAACCGGCGGTCCGGTTCCAAGGCCGGGTAACCCGGTTACTTCAATATTTGTTTACTTTTGTCAATAAAAACCGCAATTTAGTTCGGTCTAAATCGAAACAATTTGAACCAACGACAGATAAAATTAGACAAATATATTCTAAACCGGTCTAAATAATACTACACATTTTTTTAATATCAAACTACAACAATATGCTTTGGTAATGTTAAGGCTTTAAAGTAGATACTTTGTTTATTTTATATTTGCCGATCAAGTACGGAAAAAATGTGTGTGCTGTGTGTGTGTGTATATATATATATATATATATATATAACCAGTTTCGGCGGGTACCCAGCGGGTAGCGGTTCCGAAAAAATGAGAACCGGAACCGGAACCGCTTAAGGCGGTTCCATAACTTTAGGAACCGGAACCGGAACCGCTTAAGGCAGTTCCGGTTCCGGAACCGATAGTTCCGAGGCAGTTCCGGTTCCAAAAGCGGGTACCCGGTTGCGATGCTCATCCCTACCTGTCATAGCCGGTCTTCCTTGAAACTTTCTCAGGTCCATTGATAAGGGACTCTAATATTCACAAAATGAAAGCAAATGTTTTTCCCTGTAGAATTAGTAGTAGGCATTAGGTAATTGTTTACATAATTCAAGGTGAAGATGCAACAGTTCAAATCATAATGAAACCATTCCGATTAATAATGATGGAGCAGATGAAAGAGGGCATATCAAATTGCAAATTTAGGACGAAAATTAGAGAAAAGAAACCTAATTAAAAGCGAGAACTTATTTCTCTTTGGCTGGGTCGAAGTGATGTTACTGACATGGGAAGCTAGACACAATAGAAGACAGACAAAGAAGCGTATCAATTAGGATAGAGAAATCCGGAACCCCAAATCAAAACCCTAACAAAAAACACAAATCTAACGACAGTATTGTTCATTACAACGATTAAATGGATCATGAAATTCATAAAACGCATCAAATCCTTAAACTTACCAAAAAAACAATCGAAGCTGCTGAGCCACCAAACTGTTATTGTTCAGAGAAATTCAAGGATGAGGACCATGCTTGCTTACATAAGGCGGTGAAGTGGTGACCGCCTTCGAAGGCCGATTAGAAGCCGTCGGTTTCCTTTGCAGCTTAAAAATTGGTAGCAATTGAGCATCGGAAGATAGCGAGAGGACCACCGCTGGTGAGCCGCTTCCTTTAGCGTGAGCGGATCAGAAGAAAAGAAGGGAGAATATCATCTCTTGGCAAAGAAATAGAGACGGTGAGAAAATTGTAGAAGCAAAGATAAAGTAATCTGAATTTTTAAGATCTGAATTTCTAAACGATCTGAATATTTTTAAGAGGGTCTGAATTTTTAAGATCTGAATTGTGAACATGCTGTTTGTTTAGAACCTCTGAATTTTTGTGCTTAATTATAAAAATGACAATTTTACCCTTCTGTATTATTTTTTGCAAAATTATAAAAACACCATACAAAATCCAAATTAGACATAAGTTAAAATTAAACAATCAAACATAAATATTTGGCTAATGTATCCAATTATAACAATCAAAATTGCTTTGTTTTAAATTGTATGCTAATATTGATCACAGTACAGAAATTGATGTTAACAGATCTACACACAAATGCAACATTCCAAATAAACTTAATAATTGCAGCAATAAACATCAGAACAATCACATTGAAAACTGCATCCATTATCATCCTCATCTTGATAGCATCTTGTTCATTATCAATCACCTATATCAACCAAACAAAGGATACATCAGATTTTACCATCCACATTGAACAATTTAAGAGAGAATATTAACAGATGGTTCATAAGTTGAAACAATTTCATTCAGGCATTTTATCAAATGGTTCATATGCAAGTAAAATAAACATGGGAAAGAAGCCATAGCTGATAAATCAAACAAAACCAAACTAAAATCAACAACATTTCATCAAAATCAAACCAGAATCAGCAACATTTCATCAAAATCAAACCATATTTCAAACCAAACAAGACCATTGAATTCGATTTTTGATTTTCAATTTTGAAGGGAAAGAAGGAACAAACAAGACCATTGAATTCGAGGGCAAAAAAGGAAGAAACGAACCTGCTGTAGTCGACGGAAGAAAGAAAACAAGCTGCAGTCGGCGGCGGCGGAGGCTGGCGGCATTGCTGGCGTCGTCGGTGTGCGGCGTCGCCGGTGGTAGCAGTCGCAGGTGTCGCCGGTGGGAGAAGATGCGATGGGAGCAGATGATGTGGGAAGGAAAGAAAGGAGGCGGTCGATCGGTCGATTAGGGCAAATAGAAAGCACGCGTGCTTTTTTTTCAGACTTGGTTTAACATCTGAAAAAATAAGAGGTATTTTTAAGTTTAAGAGGTAAAATATAATACGCAAACAAACGCTCTGAATCTGAAATTTTAAGACATTGCCTCTTAATTTTGCAATTAAGAGGTAAACAAACGACCCCTAAGACGGTGGAGCAGGAGGGGATAAGGAGTCGGTGGTACGGTGGAGCAATCCAATTGGCAAACAGAAACGGTGCCGAACGACTCATACGTCAGGCAAAAAGTAAATTAAAAAATAAAAATATTTCATTCCAAAAAAACTATAAAAAAAATTAAAAAAATTCAACCGATAGGATGAAAGTACTATGCATATAGGAACAAACAATTAATAATATCATAAATTATAAATAATAATAATAATAATAATAATAATAATAATAATAATAATAATAATAATAACTAGATGGGGAACCCCCGCGTTGCGGGGGTCGGATGCGATGCGACAATTTATTCTTTGAAAATGTTTATAGTTTGAGTTGCTCATTCCTTCCCTCTTTAACTGATCTATAAATAAATAAATAAATAAGAAATAAAAAAACATCAATGAATCTGTAAGCAAAACTAATAAAGTGATAATTAAACGAAAACATAGGAACCTATAATGCCACAAATAACCAACGGAAGTAGAGGGACCAAAAAAAAGGAAGCAACTTTAAAATGACCCAAATATAGTTGATGGACCATTGCCATAACCATGAGTAACCTAATAGGAAAATCTCGAATTACCCAAATACTCTTCAGGTCCACTGATTGCAACCCCATTCACATTCTGAGCACATGCCACCATATTCATCGAACCATGTTGCATCTCCGACTGTATAAGCAGTCCACCACCACTAAATCCTGCATCACTGCTAGAAATCAAAGTTAGGTTTAGTAGATTTGTGTGATTCTAGGCACAAAAATGTATCGAAACTCTGATTTCACCTGGAAAAACCAGAGGAATGCACTCTAGATATAGACAAAATTCTGTGTATCACTTCATCAATCTATGGTGGTTCTTAGTCAACAACATGGTAACACATCAAATATTGCAACCAGATAGACATTATATTCAAAATAAATTCCATATATTGACAAGTATTTAAATAGAGAAAAAAATAGTGAGAAAACAAACCTTCAGAATCATCATCGAAATCATCATCTTCCTCTTCATCATTAGATCCTTCCATGATTGGTGTTGTATGTCTCTGCCAAAAGTAACAATATAAAATATATATTAATGCCATGTCATCGCCACGTCATTGCCATTTCAAGTCATCAATGCCACATCAGCATAAAGTCATAAACAGAATAACTTACTGCAGAAGCTTTTCTACTTTGGAACCATTGTCTTCCAGTGAGTTTTTTTTTTTTTGCTTGTAGTAAGAGCTAATTCTAGTAATAGCCTGAAAGTGGGAGGGTAGTAATTAATAATTATATAAATTGTGGAAAATAACAAACTCTGTTAATTATTTGGCTCTCTGAAGGGCTATTTGTGCTTCAAATTTTTCTCTCCATGCGAAAAATGTTTCAATAGTGATAGGTTCTCCACGTGGCACAATCAAATCATTTTTTTCAATTTAGTTGGACCCAATGAAATCTTTTTTTTCCAAGTTATCCATTTTGATGGTTTGAATGGAAAAAAAATATCTATGGTTAAAAAATGCAAAACTATCATTTACTTAACCAAGTCAACATATTGGAGTGAATGTTTAATCAACATTAAAAATAATTTTTTATCAAGGGCAAAGTGGTCAAGTAAAAATACTTGGTGCCTGGAGTAGTGTAGAAAAAAAAGAGACGAACGATTCTTTTCTATTTTTTAGAGACCACGGAAGGCACAATGCTCTCTGGCATCGTCTCGAACAAAGTTTGAAACCAGATAATCATATAATAAAAATAATATTAGAGTATTATAACGACAAATAAAAAAAGTAAATGACATTGCTATTTTATGCAAATGTCCCTTACTTATTCACCCAATCTCAACACGGGTTGAAAAATTGTCTGTAGGTCAACCCACCACATTTTGACCAAAGACTTTTATGGTTATAGTAAAAAGGTGGGTAAGTTTTTTTTTCGTAAACCTACAATATTTTTTCATACCTGATTGTAAAGGTGACGGAACATTCTCACCCAAAAGAGACCAATCAGAAACTTAGTCATGCTCATACATCTGCATTGCGTTTGGAGAGTTAATTTTTTAACTTTTGATTCTATAAATATACCTATTGATTTCATGGAATTAGAAATGGAATGGAATCACTCATTCCATTACTTTGGAATATGACTCCTTCCATTTTGTTAATCCTTCACTTGACTCTACAATGGAATGAAAAATTGCAATTTAATCAATTTTTTATTCATGAATTTATTTGGAAATTAAGTTTTGTGATTATAGTTAAATAATAATTTATTATGAGCTTTATGATTTAGTTACATGATACTTCGTATACTGGCAAAAAACAACAGATTTATGATCAACAGGAAACTAATATTACTTGACGGGTATTTATCTTCAAAATACTTTTTTTTACCATATTCAAGGAACTCTTTTTTCCGGATTACAAATCAGGGGAAAATAGTGAAATACAACAGATAAGGTAAGGCTATAAGCACAACATACTTTCACCATTAATTGATTTAGCCACAGAACTATTATTTTTCTTTGTTTAGAAAAAAAATAATGTTTCCAATCACCCGGTTTTGATATCCATTTAGTAACTGAACTATTTATTATTATAATAATCATAAAAAAGTAATAGTTCAGTTGTAAATCGATAAAATGGTGAAATGTGGTGTGTTTTTTTATATTTTAACCTTTTCCAAAACCGAGTAACCAGGAAAATGGTTTTTAAAATTCTTAAAAAAATAATAATGGTTTTAACTTGGCTTCGAAAATATTTTAGAGTCTCACCCTTATGAGGCAAGAAATATTAACTCTGCAACTGCTTGTCTAGGTTTTGGATTCGTTGATAAAGAAATGCAACTTTTTCTGCAGCATTGTTTCTATGATCTTAGGAGCGCTGGCTGCCATGAACCAAACGTAAGTAAAAAGACTTCTGGCTCATAGTTCAATTGGACATGTAGGTTATATTCGTACTGGTTTCTCATGTGGAACCATAGAAGGAATTCAATCACTACTAATTGGTATCTTTACTTATGCATCAATGACGATAGATGCATTCACCATAGTTTCAAAACACCATTATGAAACAATAATGAGAAAAGATATTAAAGAACAAAAAACGATACATTTTTTGTATAAATTGGTTATTTTGGGTACAAAAAGCGATTTAGCTAAAAGGTAGGATAGTTCAAAAGATGCCCAAAGTTTACTCAACCTTTGAAATAGTTTTTTTCAAAAACTGGATTAGTAATTTGATGATAATTTTTATAATCATATTTAACATATTAATCATTGACGAAATTTTAAAGAGAGTAAAACATCGTATGTCCTTACCATGGTAATTCATGAGAATGTGCCCTTCTTCATCCCAAACAACTCCTGAACCATTGCCTTCAGGAATCTATCAGTCTCAAATACAATACATGTCAAACTCACTACAACCAGGGTTCAATGTTTGTTCAAAAATTACTTCAACTACCCCTGTAACATTAAGCTGGGGGCATAGAGTTATATCAAATATATTGACAACAGAATAAGTGTTGTTCTCAAATAGGTTCATGATTCTTTCTTGCCATTGCCAAGCATACATATATCAATATACCTGCAATGAACATACATTATGAAGGGTAAAATATAAAAGTGAACTGCTTTCAAGAATAGAATTGATAAAAATAATGAAGAAGAAACCTCAGGAGAAAAAAGTAGCAACCCTCCTCTTTTGATTTTTCTGATAATCAATTCCTAATGAGAATAAGAAAAGAGGAACCTGGAAAAGTGAAATCAAAGAAAATGGAAGATGTCTCGTTTAGATTAATCAACGTAATCAAGCATACCACTCATTCAAAAAAATACAGCAAGCCTAAATAGTAGATCAATTTGGGATCGGAGAAACTTAACTTTTGATTTTACCTCTTCAATATCATGCTTCAATTCTTCCTCAGTGGCGATCGCCTCCTCGTAACATTCTATGCAAGTGCGGCGTCAACATCAGCGTACTCGTGTTTCCAAGACAAACCCTTCACATATCTGATGACGTTGTCGACTGGCACTTTCCACCTTGAATCTTTACAGCATAAGAAAAAAACAAACTGCAGATCATTCAGGTTTACGAATAGCGACATGAAATCATTAAGCGAAAAGATGAACTAACAGGAAGAGAAAGAGGATGTCCGTGTGCGTTAACATTTGTTGAGAGAGACGGTGGGAGAAGAAACCAACCATATCCAAAATACGGAAGTGGATGAAAGAAGTAGAAGGCAGTGGAAGTAACCGTACGTGATTGGGCGAGCTGTCGCACACCACACAGCAGGAGCAACATCGAACCCCCAACCATCGCACCACCTTCTTTGACCGCCTCCGCCTTGAAATTCAGGTATGTTTTTGAAGTTTGATTTCATCTATGTTGCTAATCAAGTTCGTTGGTGATGTTGAGGTGGGGTCGGTGAATGGGAGGACCAGTCGGAGGAAGTAGAAAACTGGAGCAAGTAGAAAACTGGAGAAGAAACAGATACGTACCCTAGAAATAGAAATCGGGGGAAAAGCAACCTGTTTGTCCGTCGCCCTTTCTTTCACCTCGACAAATCAAAAGCCGACTCAAGGAAACTGTATTGGAGCGTTTGAGTTTTGGATGGAATTGAAAATACAAAAGAAGAATCGAGAGATGGATGGAGTCGGTGAGGAAAATCGGGAATAGAGTCTATGGCGGTGGGGTGGTTTTAGGGATTTTTAATCGGAAGAGAATAAGAAGCGGTGGACAGCAACCTGAAAATAAAAAAAATTAAAAAAAATAAAAAAAAATTCCAGCCAATCACAGGAAAGAACTGTTAAAAATTTTCACATCAAATTTTGAAAATTTTGAAGAAAAACTTTAAAAAAAAATTAAATTTTTTTTATATATTAGTTGAACTTTAAAATATTATGAACTTTTGAAATTTTGAAATTTTGTTT